TGGTTCATATTTATGACCATTGCAGTCAATGGAAAAGCCTGATTCACTTAACAACCAGGTTACTAACTTATCAACTGCAATGATTCATTTAACAAAAGTCATAAAACAGGGCAAAACTTAGTTAACAATTGTCTCACTTAACAACAGAAATTTGGGGCTCAATTGTAGTCATTAAGTCGTGGACTACCTGTACAGAAGTTGGTTTTCAGGTCCTAAGTTCTGCAAAAATGTCAGCCCTGAGGGTCTTTTATGGTTTCCCCAAATCTACAATTCAGAGAAATAGCTTTACCCAAAAACAATCTTCAAAAAATAATGAATAATATTTAAAAAGTTATAAGTATCTTGGAATGTATAATCATGCAAGGTAGCAAGCACCCTCTCTAATAAACAGCAATTTATTACATGCACAGAATGAAGACTGAATTAACTTCAGTCCAAAGCCACTAAATGCTTGAAAAAGGAAGGAGGTGACATCTAGGAAGGGAATGAATGCCTAAGGGGAATCAGTTTCCAACAGTAAAATGCCTTTCTCAGCTGTTAAAAGAATTAGATGTTTCAACCCTTGTCATGGTGACATTCAGCTTCAGACTGTGCGTATTAGGCTGAATCTGCAAAGAACGGCAGAGCCATAAAGTTCATGTTGCAGCCAGCAGCCATCACAGATCAGAGCATATTTAGGATGTTCTTACAGAAAGTGTAATATTGTTCACACACAGTATTTTGGAAAGTGACAAGGATTAACTTCATTAGTACCAATACCTCTATAATATAACTTATTTACCAGAACCTGAGCCAGATAAAGCATGAGCAATATAGAATATTAAAAGAATGCAGGAATGGCTAGAATCAGCAAAAATGATATAATAATAATGATGATGATAATGACAACAACAAAACAATCATAATCATAATCATCATAGAGTTGGAAGGGACCTTGGAGGTCTTCTAGACCAATCCCCTGCTCAGGCAGGAAACCCTATACCATTTCAGAGAAATGATGGTCCAGTCTCTTCTTAAAAACTTCCGGTGTTGGAGAATTCACAATTTCTGGAATCAGGTTGTTCCACTGATTAACTGTTCTGTCAGGAAATTTCTCCTTAGTTCTAGGTTGCTTCTCTCCTTGATTAATTTCCATCCATTGCTTCTTGTCCTGCCTTCAGGTGCTTTGGAGAATAGCTTGACTCCCTCTTCTTTGTGGCAACCCCTGAGATATTGGGAAACTGCTATCATGTCCCCCCTCGTCCTTCTCTTCATTAAACTAGACATACCCAATTCCAGCAACCGTTCCTTATATGCTTTAGCCTCCAGTCCCTAATCATCTTTGTTGCTCTTCTCTGAACTCTTTCTAGAGTCTCAACATCTTTTTTATGACATGGTGACCATAACTGGATGCAGTTGTTCCAAGTGTGGCCTTACCAAGGTGTTATAAAGTGGTATTAACACTTCATGTGATCTTAATTCTATCCCTCTGTTAATGCAGCCTAGCACTGTATTGGCTTTTTTGGCAGCTGCAGCACACTGCTGGCTCATATTTAAGTGATTGTCCACTAGGACTCCAAGGTCCCTCTCACAGTTGCTACTATTGAGCAAGGTACCACCTATACTATACCTGTGCATTTGGTTTTTCTATCCCCTCATCTGAATAATTGATGAAGATGTTGAAGAGCACTGGGCCCAAAACAGAGCACTGGGGCACCCCACTGCACACTTCCCTCCATGTGGTTAGACAGCATCACCACCAGATGGATTTGTCGCTGGCTGGCTGACTGTACTCAACGTGTGGTCCTCAATGGAACTGCATCTACATGGAAGGAAGTGTGTAGTTGGGTGCCCCAGGGCTGTGTTCTGGGCCCAGTGCTCTTCAATATCTTCATCAATGATTTGGATGAGGGGATAGATGGGGAACTCATCAAATTTGCAGATGACACTTAGCTGGCAGAAATAGCCAACACTCCAGAAGATAGGCTTAAGATACAGAAGGATCTTGACAGACTTGAACATTGGGCACTACCTAATAAAATGAAATTCAGTGATGAAAAAAGTAAGGTTCTACATTTAGACAAGAAAAACCAAATGCACAGGTATAGTATAGGTGGTACCTTGCTCAATAGTACAACTGTGAGAGGGATCTTGGAGTACTAGTGGACAATCACTTAAATATGAGCCAGCAGTGTGCTGCAGCTTCCAAAAAAGCCAACACAGTGCTAGGCTGCATTAACAGAGGGATAGAATCAAGGTCATGTGAAGTATTAATACCACTTTACAATCCCTTGGTAAGGCCACACTTGGAATACTGCATCCAATTTTGGTCATCACAATGTAAAAAAGATGTTGAGACTCTAGAAAGAGTACAGAGAAGAGCAACAAAGATGATCAGGGGACTGGAGGCTAAAACATATAAGGAACGGTTGCTGGAATTGGGTGTTTAACGAAGAGAAGGACGAGGGGGGGCATGATAACAGTGTTCCAATATCTCAGGGGCTGCCACAAAGAAGAGGGAGTCAAGCTATTCTCCAAGGCATCTGAAGGCAGGACAAGAAGCAACAGATGGAAACTAACCAAAGAGAGAAGCAACCTAGAACTAAGGAGAAATTTTCTGACAGAACAATTAAACTGAATGCTGTTTGTGATGGGTAAAGAAATTTGTAGTTTAATCATGTCAAAACATCCACTTAAGAAAAGGAGGAGAAGAAAGGTGATAATATAGGCACAGCTGTAATACACTAGCTGCCCCATTTGCTCAGCCAGATCCAACCTTTATTTCTTAAGAAAGGCTGAACTTTGTAAATTTATTCTGATTACCATAAAATAAAACTGATTGCCAGCAATAATATTTCAGTAATTATGTAAACAACACATTGGTGTTTCATCTGAACATGGCTCCCATGCTACTAATACTTTAAAAGAATAATAAATGAAAGTTACATTAAAGAGTGATTAAATGAAAGCCCATTACAGTGCTTTATTGAAAAAAATAATTTGTAATTTAGGTACTTCATATTAAATCAGAATAAATTGATTAACATTAAAATTGGCAAAACAATTGTAGGCGATCATTTGCTGCTTTCCTTTTTAAAAAAATGCATTTTTACTGAAAGTTTTAATAACAAAGGTAAAAGAAACTACAAACTAAACTCAGAAAAAAAGACAAGTAAAGAAAAAAGGGAATAAAAGGCTTACAGTGGGGGGAAAAAAGAATAAGAGAAAGAAAATATTTAAAGAAGCAGTTTCTGATATTCACCACAATAAGTACAAACAAATTTAATAATTTAAAACCCCTCTCCCTTTCTCCTGAAGAACAGATCTACTTATGTATAACATGAATGTAATAATTAATTACATTAATAAAAATCATTTATACTGAAGGAAGACCCGAAAAAGTAACTTACAGGTTGATAATATCAGATTGCCGTAGTTTCCATACTGAACTTTTAGCAATTGTTTATCTACATTAGAAATCCATAATTTAAAGTTATATAAATAATTGGGACAGAATTCAAAATGACTTTACTGAGTGCAAAAAAATCCTCCAATAGGTTATATCAGGTAAGATTTTTAAAGATAACTAATAATATTTAAAACAGTAACTAATAATATTGGAAAAAATAATATTAACTGCAATATTAACTGCAATTGGTTTGGGTTTTTTTGGAAAAAGTTTTCTGCAGGCCTTCTGAGCATGATTATCACCTGCCACGGTCACATTTTATTGGAAGACAACATTTGTATTGAAATAACACAAAGTGTATATTAATAATCCGCAAGTCTTCGAAGTGGTCTAACACACACATTCTACATCATATTAACTTTATTGAAAACAAAATGACAGCATTAGCAAGTTAACTTTACGAGCATGTCCCTTTTTACAGGTATCTCCAGTGTGCACAACACATGGGTAGTGGGGGGAAAAACAAAAACCTCAACCTGACCATTCCTTCAGACATGCTACAACTCTCCAACAACTGTTGCAGATGGGTAAAGTTGGGAGTGTGGCCACTATTTCAGAACAACATATATTCTACCCTATGACATAGATGTAGTGTGGACTGAGGGCAGGCATCACATGGTCTTTAACACAAAGAACTTCAGGTGAAAGGGCCTGGAAGTAGAAAAAGTTTTTTTTCATTCTGTGAAACTCTACAGTTTCCAACAATTGAAAGAGGTTCTATGGGAGACTAAAGGGAGGGAGGGAGGGAGGGAGGGAGGAAGGGAGGAAGGAAGGAAGGAAGGAAGGAAGGAAGGAAGGATCATTTGAACACAACCAATCTGAATCTAAACAAAGTTAGATTCAGGTTACTCTAAGAAACTAAGGATCTAGCTTTCCTGGAGCAATCAATTTCTTTAATTGAAACTGTAGGGATCTTGTCCAATTATAATGCAAGTTTCATATATACTTACTATAATATATACACTCTTGCCAGTTCCTGTGGGTCCAACAAATATGGTAGGTTTTTGATGTGTTGTCAGTAAGTCCATTAATGAAAAGTATCGTATAGTATCCAAAGTGGGAACAATTATTTCATTGAACAGCATGTCCTTTGGTATAGATGGAGCTGACTGAAGTGCTTCTATCCATGGTTCCCATCTTCCAGCTCCCTGTTTCAAAATTTAGTTCCAGATAACTAGAAAGCATTACCATAAGGGGGAAAATAATTACATGAACCTGCAATTCCATGATCCAGTGATACCATGTACATCTGATTGTATTAGCAACTGATTATTTCAAAGTGCTTGGGCTTTATTATAGTTTACTTTTTAAATTATGTACTTTTATCAGCATTGTTTCTTTTCCTTTATTCTTTGTAATAATAAATAACAAGACTGTAAAGGTTTTTTTTTAAGTATTGTACACTGTGTGCTATATTTCTAAATTTAAAACTCAGGATCAGATCCTGACATGGTCTGGAGAGATCATCCCCTGCAAAAATTGAGAACCAGGTCAGATTTTCCTTGATTTTTTCTTAAATGGATAAAGTGAAAGTTGTGTTTGTTTATTTGTTTACTTACTTACTTACTTACTTACTTACTTACTTACTTACTTACTTACTTACTTACTTACTTACTTACTTACTTACTTACTTACTTACTTATTTTATTTTTATGCTGCTTGATTCCCAGCAATTCTGGACAGTTTACAAATTGTTTAAAACATTTAAAAACAAGGTTCCAGAAGGCAGCTTATGCCTCCCCCAGTAAAACCAAAATTTCATGACACAGACTACAGTCCCCCCAAAACTTTAACCAGCACCTGTTAAGTAGCCTGTCCTGCAGTTTTTGGGCTGTTGAATGATTGGAACTTATTATTTCCAATTGGTGGGCATTGAACTACTTTCTACTGATTTCAATGGAAAAGAGTTAAAGATTACTTTAATTATCTTATTAAAAGCACCTTGCCTTCAGCTGAAATTACAACTTTCAATAGTATCTTCCTGATGAGAATAAGCAGGGCTTTTTTTTGTCGTAGAACGCCCAGAATGGAGTTCCGGCGCCTTTTTGGGATGGAACCTTGTAGGGTAGGCAAGGCGGGTTGTATGACATGTGTGAGTTCCAGCACCTTTTTTTTTTTTTTTTTTTACAAAAAAAGCACTGAGAATAAGTATAAATTCATCTTACTTCTCTTATTGTCATAATGCAATGAGCGTATCAAGCACCTAATAAATAAATGTGTCCTACTTCCACAGCTATTTTTTTTCAATTGAGCCAAATCCCACAATTCAAGCAATTAGATTACGATAAGAAATCATTTTGAGAATAAATTTATCGATTATTCTCTGAAAATCTCTGTTCAAAACAAATACACTCACATCTTTGATAAATCGGTAATCATAAATTGTTCCATCTTCTGGATAGGGAACAGTTAAGATTTTTGCCCGGAAATGCTCAACCCCACTCAACAATTTATACTTTTCTCTTGTCTCATCAGTCATTGGCCCCTCAAGCAGTTCACGCACAATCTTGTCAAATTTCAGTCGATCTTCTTCTTTACAACTGGCTCCAACAGACCATGTGAGTGCAAACACAAAAATGCTCTGGAGGATTCAAAAACAAATTCAAAGTAGTCATTCATACGCACGACAATACCATTTCAGGTTTCAAGCTTACTGTTTTAACAAATGTACAGAACTCAACCAAGTAGTCAACAGTTGTATGGGGGGAAAACATGCAAACCCAAAATAAATAAGCTCAGAAGTCAGTCTATGTATGTCATTCAGAGCGGTATAGTTATAGATACATGCATGCAACATTCCAGGCTGACAGCAACCAGCAATTATTAAACTTTAATTCATGCCACATATCTTTCCATCCCCCTCCTCCCACGGAAGCCACCTCCAACCTGCAAATCTTGTAGTCCAGATTTGAGAGCTGGGGCAGAAATCATTGACAGGTGTCAAATAACATTTTCAGATACTTTTCTAGGGAGTTGGGGGGATCATAGGAAAGTCAGTAAAATGGCTATACTAAGCCTAACAGAATTGGGCTTATTATTTTTCAAATCTACCATCAAATTTCAAATGTTGAACTGTTGATAGCAGAAAAAAAAATGGGACTGGGAAATATAGGTAAATTATCCATCCTGCAGCAGAACTTGCAAGGGAACTGAAAATCCGTTCCAATGGATGTAATTAGCCTAGAGGCAAATATTATTGGGTAGAAACTGAAATTGCACAATTTTTTTTATTCATTGGCATTTCTGTCAGTACCGCATTCCCCAGAAAGACTTGCCTGGCATGTTCATTACATTCCTTTCATTCCCAAGGCAAAACCTGTATGTTTTCTCCTTGGGCTGCTATCTATGTGAAGATCTGTTTGTTACACTACAGAAAGGTTATATCAAGGCTGGAAATGATGCAGAAGCGAACAGCTCACATGCTCAGGTGCCTATACCACTTTTTTTTAAAAAGGGGCTAGAACATCTCGGACTCTTTAGCATAGATAAAAGGCAAAGGAGGAAGCATGGCCAAGATGTTTAAAATAATGCACAGCATGGAGAAAGTGTACAGAAGGAAGTTCTCCTTCATCTTTCAAAACACCAGAACCAACGGCCCTAAAACTAACAAAGAATTAAACAGAAAAAAGAAAGTATATCATTATGTACTGTACCACATAATTAACCTGTGGAATTCATTACTACAAGATGTGATGTCCACTAATCTGAATGGCTTTAAAAAGCTATAAGATAAATTCAGAGACAGGGCTATCAATGTTTAAGTCTCAGTGTCATCTCCAGGATGGGCAAAGCATACGTATTGCAAAACACTGTTTGCAATGGGGAAAAAAAAATGTGTGCAGGTAGTCCTTGCTTACCAACTGATTCAGTGACTGCTCAAATTGACGACAACGCTGAAAAATTAAACTTAGCATTGGTCCTTGCAGTTATGACCACTGCAGCATTCCCATGGTGAAGTGATTGTGATTCAGGCATTTGGCAAGGGGCACACACATTTACAACGCTCACGTTGTCCTGCAGGCACACGATTGCCATTTGCAACCTTCCCAGCCGGCTTCCAACAAGCAAAATTCAATGGGAAAGCCGGTGTGAAGTTGCAAGTCATGCTCATGTGACATCAAGCTTAATGACCACAGTGATTCATTTAACAAGCAGCCAGAACTGACATTATATACTTTTGGCATGGTCGCCCAACATTGCAACCATAATGCTTAGTGATGGAGTTGCTAGTCTCAATTGCAGTCAGTGAATGAGGGCTACCTATACCTTCATCTCCTTCAACATTCCATAGGTGGTGACCATGGTGAAATATATGTGTTCCAAGTTGGGCATGATCCAGAATTATTCTTTGATTCTTATATTCAAATTTTAGTTTTTTATTATAAACCTACCAACAGGGTAAAATTTCTATTTATTACACTGTACCTGATTTGGTTACCGTATGAACCAAGACTTTAATTTCAAGATGACCCAAAAATAAAATGGTTTTAAACATCACAGGGTCATGCTTATCCTGGCCTCTTTGTTTTTCTCATCTCTGAAAAGTTCAGAAAATTTCACTCAAACTATTCAGTGTATTTAAAAGATCTGGCCCACCTCAAGCCATGAAAATATTTCGCGGTCAGTAATAGTTTTAAGTTTTGTTTCATTGTGAAACTCATCCATCATGCAGTCCATGAGATTCATTAAAGACCGAACCAGGTTTGTGTCTGATGTTGGAGAAAGTTCCTAGAAAAACAAAAAAGTGACTTTAATTGAACACCATTCTCCTATTACTGATTTAGGAACAAGTTTAACTAATTTTGCTTTAGACAATAATGCAGCTTTAACAACGTGGCCACAGAGAGCAAAATAACAAAACATTGGTTTCTGGAGACTCTTCACTTAGAACTTTGGATAAGAAATAAAATTGTAATAACAGGTATGGGAAGAACAACATTTGCTACCAATGTGATATCCTTGAAATAATAATTACCAAATCCAACCGTAAAATAGGGACTAATTTATGCAGTTGCAGAACAAATGCTAAAATCTTTATTCCATTTCCATTAATAGATAAATTGCTACTAATATGTTTTAAGATATAGCATATAAATAGCTAAACAAACACCTCAATATCTACATTTTCAGGAAAAAAACATTTTATACCAATTTGAGTGAAGTTATCTATTATACTGAAACAAATGATGGTCTGGACAATGTCCAAATGAGAGACCATCTCAGAATTCCCCATGGATCCTGCCTTGAGTTCCATACTGAAGCAAAAACATGTTTTTATTTTATGTAAACAAACAACAAAATGAACTCACACGTTTATGTCCTAAAGACTAACACACACATATACGTACACAAATACTTTTGTTCCAGAATCACTATTAATAGCAGTGAATACACCATTCATGTCTCATGTGTAAACAGACTTTTTAATGTATTATTAATAATATATTTAATAGTAAATAAATATCACCTTACCATACCTTTGTACATTTTCTAACAAATTCAACAGAAAGTGGGATGATTCTATCAAATAAGCCTGTTATAAATTCTTTATGCAAAGTGGTGACTGTAGGGGGCATTAGATGTAACCAAGACAACATCAAAGGTCTCCAGCCTAGCATATGAGGCTCCATGTAGACCATTCCACACCTAGACACCTACAGGGAGAGAGAGAACACCTTCATATAATAAAAACATCTAGGTATTTCATTAGATACTTGAAAGAATACATAGGCAATGTCATTCTTTCGCTGCTGAAATTATCAGGGTTCTTTTTTGCAATGAAATTTATTGATAGTGTTGTTGTTTTTTATCTCATTGTAAGCGGCCTAGAGTACCTTGATAATGAAATGGCTGGCAAATACATTTAATTAATTAATTAATGCCAATGAAGAAAGTTTGGCTTAATTTACCTATTACACAAAATGATGTCTAATTTTTAATCAGATCGAAATGTCTCATCCCTAACAACACAGGCAAGATATTAAATCTTGCCAGGAAGACACTTTACAGAAATCGCAAGATATTAAAAAAAGGGGCCTTCAGTCCTGCTTCCCTGGTAGTATGTTATTTGTTTGTTTGTTAAATTACAGTATATGCCAGTGATGGCGAACCTATGGCACAAGTGCCAGAGGCAGCACTCGGAGCCCTCTCTGTGGGCACACGTGCCGTCACCCCAGTCCTGCCTCCTCCTGAGGCCTCCTCCACACCAGCAGCCCCCCTGGAGGAGAGTCACCCACAGGCACGGCCCGCCTGGAACAGGGCAGCCAAGGACATGGCAGCCAGGCAGTGGGGACAAGACTCTGCCCTTGCGCCCCATCGCAAACAGATGATGCTGCGGGGCACGGGTGGAAGGCGTGGTCGCCATGGCACTGCTGGGCCACCTGGGCGATCTGTAGTGGGCCGTGGAGGGGGGTGGGCCTGCAGGTGGGTGGGGGCGGGGCAGGGGTGGGGCGGGGATGGGCGGGGCAGTTTTGGGGCACTCGGTCTCTAAAAGGTTCGCCATCACTGGTATATGCTGTCCATTTCACTGACACAGCAACTCTGAATGATTTATGATATAATAAAAAGTTTAAAAGTGCCAAAACAAAAATTAAAATAAGAAAAATTGAATAGAAAAATTAAAAGTTAAAAACCAAAATGATGGATGGGTTGGTCTGGGAGTAAGGACCTTCTGTATCCTGTCAGCCACTCCCAATGAAGCAGAGCCAAGTTTTTAGGCTGTTCTGGAAGGCGGGGAGTGTGGGGATGGGCCTCACCTCTGATGGAAGAATATTTCAGATAATGCGAGACATAGCAGAAAAGGCTCTTCTCCTGGATCCCACCAGTCAAAATTCTTTGGCTGATGGGATCTGAAGTAGACCTTTTCCACTGGAACAAATGGGACAAGTTAGCTCCATCAGGGTGAGATGGTTCCTCAGATACCTAGGACTCATGCCATAAAGAGCTTTAAATGTAATGACCAACGCCTTGAATTTGGCACAGAAGCAAACTGCCAGCCCATGCAGCTTGTGTAACAGAAGTGTCAGATGTGCTACCCCAGGGACCTCCAGAACTGTCTGTGCTACTGCATTCTGCACTAGTTGTAGCTTCTGAATATTCTTCAGGGGTAGGCCCATGAAGAGAATGTTGCAGTCATCCAACTGGAAGATGACTAGAGCTTGAGTGACTAAGCTTAGGGCTCATGATACAGGAAAAGGCATAATGGGGCTCAACACGAAATTGTGCCCAGGTTCTCCTAGCCATAACTACCACCTGTTCTTGATCAGGAGTCGCGAATCTAGGAAATACCCCAGACTGTGCACCGAGACTGTCTGAGGTAGTGCAACTCTATCCAGAACAAAACCCTCAGATCCTGAGGCCCCCAACTTCAATTATTCTGAAGATCAAAATCAAGGACATGTTATTTCAGTTCCAGATTTGCTCCCTCAGACCTGAAATGAAATTTTAAAAATTGGGTTGATAAACCATACTTCTTGAGGTCTAATTCAATTTCCTTTTTTCCAAGATGACTGATAATCATTGAAGTAGCAAGAGATCATCTGTTAATCTGTCAGCTTACAGTAGCAGGAGAAGCAACTTCTAAATCCATCGGTTCAAAAACGAGGCTCATTTGCTGTGACATCTGGATGATCTCACCACTCATTAAACAGAGTTTCTTGTTATCGTCTAGCACAGTATTCATATTCTCAATCCATACAGCATCCACTGGTCCATCAAAAATAAGCCATTTTCTATCTGGTGTCTGAGTGGAAAAAAAATATTTTGATATTACTTTACAGGCAGTCCTCACTTAGCAACCATTTGTTCAGTGATCATTTGAAGTTACAATGGCACTGAAAGTGGGGAGTTATGACTGATCCTCATAGCTGTGGCTGTCAAAATATCCTTGCAGTTACATGATCAATTCAGGCATTTGGCAACTGGCTCACACTTACAATGGTTGCATCTTCTTTCTGGTCACATGATTGCCATTTAAAACTTTCCCACCAACTACCCACGAGCAAAGTCTATGGGAAAATCAGCAGGAAGTCCCAAGTTGCTCTCACAAGTTGCTGCTATTCCTGCCACTTTTTCTCATTAGGTGGCATAGGGTTCTCGGACGCCATGGGGCCTGCCTGCCCACAGTCCTATCCATACTCTGTAGTGTCCCACCACCTGTCCATACTCATGTCCATCCAGAGTACCCGCCTGCACCTGGCCATAGCACCCGCCAGCCCACACTCCTGCCTGCTCACAACACCTGCCTGTGCACCCACACTCCATAGCACCCATCCATCTGCCCTTGTGCCCACCTATCTTTACTTGCACCTGTCCATAGTGCCTGCCTGTCTGCACTTGCACCTGTCTGTAGCACCCACTTGCACTCCGTAGCTCTCACCTGCCCACCCACAGCACACATCCCTTGTCCTGCTTGCAAGCTGCTTAAAGAAAGGCTTGTTGCAACTTCTTGCTGGCTTTCCATTGATTTGCTTCTTGGAAGCCAGCAGGAAGTTGCAAGTCACGGTGACATGAGGTTCCCACTTATCAACTCTCTTAATGGGGACAGCAGTGGGACTGCTGGGATTGCAAACTACCTGGTCATGTGACATTGGGCTTTACAACCACATTGCTTAGCGACAGCTATCCCAGCAGTCCCTGTGGCTGTACTTAAGCAACCACCTCCTGTACTTAATAAAGTATCATTTCAATTAATAATGGTATTGATTAGTTCTACCATGGATGCTTTATTGTTTTAGTTATGTTTTATTCTTTTTTTATAAGATAAACTCCTAGGAATTTGTTAAGAAAACAACAGACAGGCAGGAAGGGAGGAAGGATCAGTCCATTGGATAAGTCCTTCTTAAAGCAGCTATTCCATCTCCTGCTTTTTGCAGGACACATCAGAAAATATAAAGAATCTACTATGTATTCACAACTACCAGTTATGAATTAATGTGACTTATCAATTCAGATTTCTTTAGCTATCCTTCCTTAAAATATGATAATTAAAAATCAAATTATAGACTGCCTGGCTAAGATAAAATCAATGATTCTGGGCTTTTTCCCATCTTTGGCATGATTTTTCTTTTCTTTTTTCATATGATAAACCAGAAAACATTTAATTCTGAGGATCTACTTACAGATGAAGAAGCAAATGCTCGAAAACTGACAGCGAGGATACCATCAGACCATTCATGGGAGACTGGATCAAACTGTCCATAGAGCTGCCCCATGGTTATAGCTTTGGGATTGATAACAGTGATCTGAACCTTATTTTCCTCCATGAGCCCCTAAGCACACAAAATAAACTGCATTTCACACATGGACATCACACTTATCTCATCAGTCTAGTGATATATAGACAAATTACTCTTTTCTTGGTCATTAGCAACAAATGGAGAGAAAAGGCAGTCGGGGTCATGCTCCAAAATGGATAGCAGCCATTTCTTGATAAAAATAGAATGTTCTCCAAACAAGTAGAAATCATCCAAGTTCCCAAGGTATTCTTCAAGGGGTTAGGCCACAGGGGTAGGCAACCTTGGCTCTTTTATGACTCGTGGACTTCAACTCCCAGAATTCCTGAGCCAGCATGGCTGGCTCAGGAATTCTGGGAGTTGAAGTCCACGAGTCATAAAAGAACCAAGGTTGCCTACCCCTGGATTAAGGCATGAGGTGATGTTGAAAGTTTGGACTTACTAATCAAAGGATTTGACTTTCATAATCGCCTCTCTTTTTTTGCTGCCAATAGCTGCTTTCAGGTCACCTATAATTGCTTAAGTGAATACGGTCAGCTGTAGGATGTTTGTTGCCAAGAATAATTACCTCAGGGTAGAAAAAGTCAGAATAAAGAGGAGAGGAGAAGAAACTGATGTATACTATAAATTCTACAAGGTGACATGTCCCATTAATGGTAAGAAAAGATGTTATTTTGGGGTCCGGGGGAAGACAGTAGCTCTGTGTGTGAGGGGATTGTGGATTCCATCTGTACTGTTAATGAACAGATAAGGAAAGTACTGTATGCGATTGGAGCTCATTCACTAAATATTTGTAGAATTCTGCCAATTCTGTTCTTGTTAGGTTACAATCACTAGATTATAACATTCCAGTTTTAAAATATTTAATGTTAAAAATTCAAACACGTTTTGAGTTTGCAATCAAAAGCATCCTTCTCAGGAAGTTGAACCCCACTGGACTTAAGTGGAATTTGTTTTAATTTAATAATAGCAATTGTGAATAATTAGTAATAAGTAAATTATTCAAATTAAATGAAGACTGTGTTTCTTAATATTTTGAATCGAAGCATAACCTTTGCTTTTTAGGACATGATCTTTCACAAAAGCAAATAGATTTACTTTTTCACACAGGTCCCCCAGTGCACCTGCCAAAACACGATAGGCAGAGGTCTTTCCACCAAAGGGTTCTCCAACGATCATAAAGCCATGGCGCACGATCATCATTTCAAATATCTGTAAGATTTTCTCTGCAAAGAAGTTGGTCATTTGCAAGTCCATTTCCTCACAGTTTGTCTTGATCGCTTCCAGGATGTCATTATAATCTGGTTTTGGCAACTTCACACCAGGAAACAAATCTGAAGTGATGCCCTGCCAAACCATGAACAATAAAGGAATGCATTTAAAGATGTCCAAAATACCCTTCCAGTCCAGTTGCATGAGCTGACTGTTGTCAAAATGTTTTCCCCAAGCAATATAGGCCGGCTGTGAAAATATCCACCAGAATCCTCAGTCAGCACTTTGGTACAATATGCCATTTTATTGGGAAATAGTTCATATAATAGATACAACATGGTTCCTTATTGTTTTAGTATGGTGCATAGTTTCAGCTATGGCAACTTGTAGAACCAGATCAATTGTAGTTTACACAACAATGCCCAGTTGAACTATGGTTTAGTATGGGGAATCACCTTTGGATAGTCAAGGACCATCCAATATTTGCAGGGAGAATGCAGGTTGTAGCAGGTAAGACAATGGATGAAGTCATTCCACCCAAATGGATGAGTAAATATTTTTGGTGGAAATTTAGGGTTTCCCCCCATTGTTTAATGTTGTTCAGCCTCTTTGCAGGCATTGCACTACAGTGTGGTTTTACATTTCCATCAGACACACAGAGCCTGGGAGCAGAGGACTGCAAAGCTCCCATTTCCTCTTCACACTTAAGGTTTTTAATAAACAACTGAAGAAATTTAGGTATAGTATATGCTTGATGACCATTTTAAGATCAACCTCTACCTATGTGGCAAATTTTATATCAGTGGCAAGAATGGCAGAATTATATGCAAGAAGTAAGGATGCCAGAAGAAGAAAGGAAAGGACTTTGTGTGAAGGCAAAGGGAATAAAAAAAAGGGGTTATTTTTTCCCCAAGCCCTTTTGGAACTTTATACCCTAATGTAAACATAGTTTTATGTATCTACTAATTCTTCAGCATTTATAAACTAATCTATAGCCCAACAAGAGTAATAACATTGCACATAAAAGAGATCTGAGAATATAAACTTAGTATATAATCTCTGCATCATTTGCTTCTTTAATTCACATTAGATTTAAAAGATTACTCACCTCAAAAAGTGGGAGATCATGGGATAAGAACTTAGGCAAATTGACATCTATTATGGATCTAAGCAGCAAAATCTCTTCATTTTCTTCTGGATATTTCAACTGTATAAAACACAGCATTAGTTTCACAGTAATCACTTTATCTTAATTCAGACCACCATCATCTTCAATCACATGCCTATGTTTTTCACATTTGAATTGTTGCCTTTGAATATGTTTTTACAGTGATCAAGGACAAGATAGAGATAATAGCAATTTTTAAGGCATCTTCATAACTCATCAGATGCTATTAGGTTGTCAGATGAGATTTGTATTTAAGATTCCGGTGACAACATATTATTAATATGACTTGTGGCTTGAAACCCTTCATGAATGTCTGATTTTTTTGGCATTCAAAGGCATGATTAAATTGGGTCAAGACCAGAGCACTGGACGTGCATTTTGTAAAGGTTGTCAGATTGACCATATATCTCGCCAAAGCTCTTCCATTAGTCATAATAGATTGATCATATATGATATTTTTCTTCACACACAACTGACATTTAACTGGAAGTTTCATGCAAATAGAGGAGATATACAGTTACCATGGCAGTAAACCCCAAAGTTCTTGGGCACAGTGATGCTCAGTGTATTATGATTGAACTTTTGTATAAAAGAAACATAGGATAAAGTAATTATGGCATATAATCAACATTTTGTTATTATATGTGAACATTTAGTCACTCATATTTATGAAAACTTTCAATAGAAATACTTAAGATCAGATTCTAGGTTTTACTATTATTACTGTTATTCTAATTTATTTATTTCTTAAAAAAAACACTTTTAAACATTATTCATGTGCTAAAGTTTATGGGCAAGGGAAAGCAAGCAAAAGAGGAACGGTTGGCCTAAAAGTGCATTCCCAACTTCATTAAGCTGACAAAGATTTTGGAAGCTGGCCACAGTTTAATTAACTTTTTATAATTTTTGAATTATGAGAGAATATAATTCAATGTCTTTTTGCAATGCCAATTGTGCATACCCAAATATAAAGTGTTTGCTTTCTTGGAACTGCAGGATAAGTCCTGAAAGAAATTATATTTCATTCAACATAGCTCAAAAGATAAACAAAGATTTATTTCTAACAAAATACCAAAAGGTAGAATTCTAATGAGACCACAGAGAAAGGACATCAAATGCTACCTTCAGATTACCAGCTGCCGTGAGCACTGATTTTACTGCTCTCATCCCATAATCGTAGTGGTGCTGTGAAGACAACTGCTCTGAACACAGACGATAGGTAGCTACAATTTTCACAGAGAGTGGCCGTGCAGTCACAAATCCACAGGAATACAGGACAATTTCAGCAATCATGGCATAATCAGGTACCATCATAGCAACAGTCCGAAACAAAGCCTATTAAACACACATTAATAGACAGGTAACTGCACAGTCTGAATAGTGATGTTTATAGCCTGTTAATAGCTTCTCAAACAGTGAAGTTAAACTAAATTTCATTATCAGGATGACAAATGGCTCCCTGGAGAAGGAAAAGCAGGGAGTATCGTACAATGATATATTATATGCATACATTTTCACAGGCAGCACATTTTCTCCCACATCCCTTCTTTGTATTCTAACAATACATACAAAAAGGGATAAAAGACAGACTCTGCATGCTACAAACTTCACATTTCATGCAAGTGTAAGCTCTAGCCACACAAATTGGGGAAAAAATATGTAGCTGCTTTTAAAAGTGCATAACAGATCATCAAAATCAACCCAAATTTCTCACTTGGGGCACAAATGACCAGGCTCAAATTATCCCACTTTGGGACACATTAAGCAAATCCCTAGCTTTCTGGAGAAGTCTATAATGCTGGAAAGAGGGGAGGAAAGAGAAAAAGAGGGTAACCAGCAGCAAGGTAGAGCAGGTGCACCACTGGAAGACCTGAGATACCAGACAGGGGACAGATTATCGTGGAGAAAATCTTCCTCTTGGAATCTCCTAGAGTCACCATCAACTTGATGGCACACAATCATTTAACTTATTAAAGAAGCCTGCCTGCTTTAGTAAACAGAAAACAGATGCTGTACTGCTCCACGTTTTGAAGCATTTCTTCTAAATTTCAAAGGGTGCACAGCCCTAACAAAAATTTAACATATATTATATGAAAGTCTTTATTAGGTAAGAATGGGAAATCTTTATGAAGAGCCAGTTTGGTGTTGTGAAGATGATGGAGTGGAATTTTGAAGATCAGGTGTTCTAGCCCTCTATAGAAGCCACTTGAGTGACTTTCTCTCAGCCCAATCCACTTCACGTTTTGTGTGTTTGTCTGTGTCTGTGTGTCTGTGTGTGTAAGAGACAGAGACAGAGATAGAGGGGAGGGAGGGAGAGAGGGAGGGGAGGGAGAGAGGGGGGAGAGGGAGAGAGAGAGAGAGAGAGAGAGAGAGAGAGAGAGAGAGAGAGAGAGAGAGAGAGAAATCGACAAGGGAAATAAGCAAAAGGAAAAATCCAGACAACACCAAAATGTAAGTGACATGTATCAGTGTCAGTTAATAAATTAAGATAGGCACAAGGTTTTAACTGGAATACTAAGTATATATATTTACACCAATGAAAGAATTGATCTTATAGATCAATTAATGGTCTGTCTAATCTTGAAATGTTCAACTTTTTCTTGAGATAAAAGTCCTCTTTGCTCTTTGAATGACATGCTGATAGCACACTCCAAGACATGAGAGGGCAGGTTCCAAGGCTGTTATTACACTAAAATTAAGCTTAAACCAAATTAATGTAATATGGTTATGTATAATGTATTTGATGAAGTTTTCTCTCATCAATTATTATTCTCAATATTATCATTAATTTTTAGAAAGGATTTTTTTAATGACAAGAAATATTCATACTGTAGAATCCTATGTATTCCTCCAAAGAGGTCCATAAGAATTACTTTTTGGTAAATGCAGTCACAAATGGAATTCTAACAGACCTTCAAGTCTCGCAGGTCGTATCGGTCCTAAGTATCATTACTTCTGTCGTGTACAACCCAATTCGAACTCAAGTCAGGGAAGTTTATGGTTTTACAGTCGCGGTCGTAACTATGGACCCTTAGTTCTCTTTCTTTGTCGTGAATTTTGTACCGACTTTATCTAAAATAGAATTTTAGATCGGAGGACGTGTTTTACCTCTTTGGATTGTAAGAATTTGTTGGGCCACGACAGACAATACTTCCAAATCAATTCTGTTAAATTCATCAAAACAAGCCCAGGCTCCACATGAAAGCAAACCCTAAAAAGAAAGAAATCAAAGGTGAAAAATATGCTAATACTTATTGGAAAACCAAACAGCTGTGGGAGCAGGAATTATCTCTATCATTCAATCTAGCCTTCAGAATGCCTTTCACTTTTTTCATAGCCCAGAACTACATTTATTACTCTCTGTTGGTCAGTTGTTAATGGCTGGGTGCAAAAGGTGGAGATCAGTGATCAATGCTCATCTCAAGGACAACTGTTGACGAGTTGGTTGGTTGGTTGGTTGGTTGGTTGGTTGGTGGATTGGGAAGATAGAGAGGACACCAAAGCTTAAAATACAAACTTTCCCTACAGATCAATGCTTGGAAAAAAGAGGAGGAGGCTTCTTTTCCTCTCTGTCACATTTATGAGTATGCCTTTTCCTTCATTTCATGAAAAGAAGAGAAACAAGACTCAGGATAGGAACACAGAGAGGAAGGAAATGAAGCTGAAACCTTTTCCATACCTAACAATCCTGTGCTGAATGTATGTGCATGCCTATATACATATTTGTGAGCATGAATGTGTGTTACATTTGTGTCTGTGGCGTTGTATGGTCATATACAAGTAAATGAGTGTGTAGTATTTCTGCATGCCCATAGCCTAATACTCTGCAGCACATGAGTTCCTTGGAGTCACACATTAATCTCATAATCTTCTCTAGAACCCTGTCCCATGCAAAGCAAAGTATACCGAATCGCCTTGAGGTGGGTGGCATATAAATCCAATAAATAAATAAAAATAAATAAATAAGCTGGATTGCCTAAGCTCTTGTTCAAGCACTTTGATATGCACGTTTTGATTCTCAGCATTACATCTTCAATTATATTCTTTCATTCCCACCTTGAAGAATTTCCCCAGAGCAAGATAATCCAATCCATCAGAACAATTGAAAACCACGCATTGCTTGGCAACAGCCTTTGCTAAATCCTTCGTTGTTTCAGTTTTTCCAGTTCCAGCAGGCCCTTCTGGGGCACCACCAAGATGAAGGTGAAGAGCACCAAACAAAGTTCTGAAAAGACAGAAAGAAGAAAAATGGCTATGGAGAACAATGGCAACTCCTACATCTAATATATTATTAATAATACATTTGTTCTTTCTGTTTCCACCTTTCTAACTTTGGTTCTTGCTATGATGTACAAGTCCATCTTTATGGAAGCTCACTGACCACCTATCTGTAAGGACAACCTGTCACACAGAATTGTTGTTGCAAAAACTGGAGGAAGAAATGCAATGTATTATTGCTGTAAAGTGCTTCAGAACCACTTGGAAAGGGGTGCTTTGGAAAGTGCAGAAACATCAACGCCGGACCTGTCAGTGACTCATAAAAGTAGCCTGGCTTTCTTCTGGAACAGAAATATATTTTACTATATGGCTTTTTAATATTAACTCTTATCCCTGTGAAATTAAAATCTGAACATAACTGCTATTCAGAATGTCCATAATTATATTTAAGGAAACAAATAAGGAAAACATGCAGCCATTTTTAAATTCATTGGGACAATGTTCAAGGCCAATAACTCTATTGCATTATTTCTATTATATTAACTCTTTTAACTTATAAAGAGAGTTACCTGTAGCATCTATCTGTAAGTGGAGTAATAACCAATCTTGGAGTATTGCCAAGGTATTCATATCCATACCGCAATTCAGCATTTATCATCTTTGTTTCTAGATGCCCTTCCTAATGGAAGATATGAAATATACATATAAAAAGACTTAAGATAAATAGAAATAAAGAATAAGTAGGCTTGTAATACACCTAATATTAGAAACAATTATTATACATGTCCCTAAGCTGCTTTTCAAAAGGCAACTGGACTTTCTTGGGGTTTTTTTTCCCTTGAAGCTTCTTCAGTTCTGACTGAATGGTGGGGAATGGAAAGATTTATATTCTTTGCAGTCATCTGGTCATTAGCTCTCTGAAGGTTCATCATTAGCTCTCTGAGAGTAGTTGTCGCCATTTGGGGATGTATCTGTACTCCCAGGGCCATCTGAATTAGATCTGGTGCTTTCTCAACTTCAATCTCTTTTTGGGTGGCTTCTCCAAATTTGGAGCAGGACTTTGGGGGAAGGGTTTGGGAGTGTTTGGTTTGATTTGGTTTGAATTATCCTACTGGTCAGAAGTTAGACCTCTCTGAATAACCTCTTCCCAACCTTTCAGTTTGAACAGAAAAAACAACAACTGTATTTGGGAAAACAGAAAGTAGGGAGGGAAAGAGAAATATCTACACCAATGGAGGCTTTCCTTAAAATGACGAAAGCGTAGTTGTACCAGTATGCTCCGCCCCTTTCATATGAACATGTGACATCATGATGCAGTTCAAAAGGGCCAGAGCTTGCAATAGGATGCCCAGATGATCATATTGTAATTTATCCCCTTGATTCTTTTTTCATTAATTAATCAGGCTTAGCTATTTATAAGTTCCCTAATTGAGAAAGTTCTTGGATTTCAGAACATGCATGGAAAGAATACAGGCAACATCTGGACCTGCTGATTAGTTATTGTTAGGCATACTCTCGCTTCTATTTTATCTTTGAAGCAATTTTTAATATTTTTATAGGAATCTGAGATATGTGAAAGCCAGTCCCTTTGGGGAGACTGACCATTGTTCATGGTGTCAGAGGACCAGATGGAAGCAATACATTGATATTGTGTTAGAATCCACCTTTCCAGTGACTGCACATTTAAAACCTTAAAAAGAAAATCACCTTTTTACTTAAAAAAATATACATAAGAATGTATACATTGAATGTATACTCTGGAAGAAAATATTATCTCTCACTTAATCAGGTTAACCAGCATGGAAAATGATTAACTTTTAAAGGTTTAGAGGTTTCCCCTTTCCAACTGTAAGTGACTCAAGAGGCAGTGCTCATCTCTGATTCTCAGCCAAGGGAGTCTGCATTGAAACATCTCTGTTTCCATCTTCATGTAAGGTAAAAGGTAAAAGAGTCCCTGCTGACTATAAGAAGCGGTGCTCATCTCTGTTTCAAGGCCATTGAGCCAGCGCTGTCTGAAGACATTTCCACGGTCATGTGGTCAGCATGATGCCATGGAGCGCTGTTGCCTTCCCACTGAAGTGGCACCTATTTATCTATTCACATTTGCATGCTTTCAAACTGCTAGGTGGGCAGGAGCTGGAGCAAGTAACGGGAGCTCACCCCGTCATGAGGCACACAGGTCTCAAACCTGGGCTGCTGTCTTTCCAGCCAACAAACCCAGTGTCTTAACTGCTGAACCACAGCGCCACCCTCTGTTAACTTGAGACCAGCATGAAAATATGGAATGCAGTAACAGGGGCTCACCTCATTGTGCAGTGCTCAGATTTCAAACCCAGGCTGTCGGCTTTCCAACTGACAAGCTCAACATCTTAACCACTGAGCCACCATGCCCCGATTGACTTTTATTGGAAAATAAAGAAGCCGATGACACACCCTAAATCTACTTTGACTTCCAAAGTAGATTTATAGAACAGGTAGGTTCACACAAGACCAAGTAACCCTATCAAGTAACCTTCAGATAATCCAGGCTATAAAAACCAATGCCACTGATTACATGGAAGTAGGGAGCAGATATATGATGGGTATAATTCATATAAATGAATTCATATAAAACCCCAGACTACATTGACATTTTTATTTAACACATACAGAAGCTTGCAATAGCAGGCTGGGATAATTAATTCTGCCTCCTCTACTGTGGTTTTGATGAAAAACACTCTTTTCCAGCAGTTATTTGCATGTGCACTAAGACAAATCATAACTCTAGTATGAATATATATTTGCAGGAAAGGTGCTTTTCTACCACTTCTCATTTCAAAGCATCCTGAACAAGTGTACAAACCCAAAAGCTCATAAAATAAACAACGGAGTAAAAATCTGGATTAAAAAAAAGAATAAAAACAATGTATTAAAACACATTTATGGAGGAAAATAATTGTTGAGGATGATTTCTAAAAGAAATCTAAAAAATGTCACTGTTTGGAGGCTGGCATACCGCACCCATTCCTCAGGTAAGGTAGACACCTGAGTTGACTATCTCTACTGTTTCATTAATTCTGCACTATATCCTCTATTAATATGTCCTATATTAGTAAGTTCAAATTATTTTAGAAGACCCTTACCAAATACATATTAACACTAGAAACACTAAATGATTATTTGATACTTTTAGAAGTCAGTACATTTGGCACTTTCATATCTAACACGATCGGTCATTGTCACTATTCACTGTGTCACATTCAGTTAACGGAAAAAGTGTCAACTAAACTATTTTAAAATAAAGAAATCAACAAGCTTTTTGGAAAATGCATGATATTATGTCTTCGAGGCATTTTGTATTGGAAAAAGGTCTATCTGAGGTAACGTCCTGCTAATATTGTATTCCATATAATAAATATAGGTTCTCAATAGTGTGAATCTAACAAAAGTCAGATTAAGGCCACTCAGCTCAAAAAAGTATGATTCCTTTAAAATAATAAAAGCAGGACTTATCCAACAATTTCAGGAAACTCAATTATGGCCTTTGACAGAAAGTTTTATCTATAAGTCTCCTGCAAATTCAGCAAGTATGTAGGGATTGTGGGCATGAAAAAGTCATTTTAATTATAAATGGTATACATATGGCTATTAGATATCTTTACTTCACATCATGCAGAAGGATGGGTAAAATCTTTGGTCATCAGCAAAAAAAGGCTCTTATTAGTGTATCTTTCCTCCTATGTCAGCAATGAGTCCCAATAGAAAAGCTGAGTGCAGAAATAATCTCCTAATAGGATTCACAGAGACATCCCTCACCTGCCAATAGTATCTCAGCTGACTTAACCATTCAAAGTCGCTGTCATCACTGACACGCTTGCTTACAAGAGACACAAGCACATCCCTAGCGTGAACATCCAGGACCACAAGTGCTCCGAGGGTCACTCGATTCTGTTTTGACAACTTTCCGCGCACCAAGGTGACAATGCCGTCAATCTGCCCATTGCACTGGGTCAGGTAATCCTCAAGGGCCTGAGTGAAAAGGAAAAACCAGAGAGAAGTGAATTAGCTCCAAACGTCAACATCAATGTCTACAGCTCTGCTAACTGCTGCTTTTAGAAGCGATTTCGCCTTTCTACTGCCGTCATCTTGACAAGCAATTGTTCACTGGCACATTTCAAATGTGTTTTCTTTTAAATACACACATACATTACATGCACACATCGTTTGAGGAGTTCTTCTACAATGGAAAGGCTTTTGTTGAGGTGTCTGCCATCCGAAGGGAGAAAAGTGATGGTAGCTGATTTCCATCCATCTTCACCTGTCTCCCAGTCCACCACTTGAATTATTTCATAGCGTTCCTCAAATTTTTCAGAGTACTGTAGATTTATTTTTTTTTGTGCCAAAGGGGAACAAAATAATCAACCAGGTGCAGGATTTTTATTTCTATGACAAGACCTTCTCAGTCCAAACTTTATCCCACTGAAATCAAGGGGGATAAATCAGGCATTTGTCATAGGAAGGGCAATCCTACTTCCTTTCTCAGAGAAATCTGTATGGAAACTCCAAAATTCACGTGCCCTACAGGTTTTCTGCCAAAAGGGAAGGAAATTTTATCTGTAGCTGTTTCCTCCCTTTGGTTGCTTTTTCTCATCCAATTTTCCCAATTTTTCTTCCACCGAAACTAATGAAATAATTTACTCTACTCCAGATGTACATCTCTCTGTAAACGAAAAGAAGCAATAAGCTCAATGTCAAGTATCTTCTGAAGCTAGTCAGCCCTACACAGAGCATCCAAATGACATTCTTTAGAAGCAATGGGATTTTCTGCTCTTCAAACATCTGCTCTTAAGACACTATTAGCTTCAACTCCACATGGGAAGTAAATTGAGGCCTCTGATGATTAGTCGATAGCTTTGCTAGAAGTATTCCTTTATACTGTTATCCTGACTTCCCCTTGCTACAGCTACAGAGTTTTTAAATTTCACTTCTGTAGTAAGAGAAAGCCAGACCCTGGCAATAGAAAATGCCAGTGAAATTCTCCACTGATGGAAACAAAGGAGTGGGGAAGTGTGTATGTGTGTGTCGGGGGGAGGGGAATACCACAAATATCTGAAGCCCTGTCAGCAAGTTTTTATTAAAATTACAGTGGTTAAATTTACCACTGTAATAACCTGAATGTGGTTCTCATTGAAACAAATGGGACTTAAATCCTAACTGACTTGTTACAGTAATTTTAACTAAATACAATTAACTTATTCTGGGCACACTCCTTTTTTTTCTTAGCTTAGATGCAATCCAATATTTCTCTTTTAATAAAGAAAAACAGGGCTTGGAAACATTATCCATACAGATATGAAGTATTTTTTAAAGACTGGACCTAGTGAACCACATTTTATCATTTTATAGTATTATACAATAACAAATCCAATAATTTTTTCATGCCATAAGATGTTTTGCTTCTACTGAAGACAAGGACATAACATAAGGACATTCTAGAAGATATCACACATGACATTTGTTCATGTCAGATCAGAAAGAGCAGGGGCAGGGGCAGGGGCAGGCGGCAGGGCAGGAGGAGAGGACAGGAGAGGAGAGGAGAGGAGGGGAGGGGAGGGGAGGGGAGGGGAGAGGAGAGGAGAGTTCACCAGTATGTAGGGAAACATTACCAATAAAGAAAACATTATGTTTTACTATCTGACTACAGTAGTTGTATTAATAACTTGGAGTATTTTTACCTTTCAACTTTTCTATTGCATTTATGAAGGTACAAATTTGGAAAAGAGCTCTGCAAATTATTTCATACATTGTCTACTGGTTCAGACACTGTCATATTACCAATTATACAGGTTNAAGATGGATTGTTTATATTCAAAATAAGCATAGAATGGTGGAATATAATTTAGGTTTTTAGATAATTTGTTTTCTTTTCTTATATATCTCACCTACTTATGTAGAATAATTTTTGTGGAGTTAGGGATATTAATAGTAGTTTACTTTTAGTTGAATAGTATCCTGGGATTAGGTTTGGGAAGTCCGGGGGGTGGGGGGTGGGGGGTAGGGTTTGTTTACATTGTGATGTATTTGTGATGTGTTCTTTATGATGAAAATAATAAAAATTTATCTTGAAAAAAAAAGAATGTCCATAATTATATTTAAGGAAACAAATAAGGAAAACATGCAGCCATTTTTAAATTCATTGGGACAATGTTCAAGGCCAATAACTCTATTGCATTATTTTTATTATATTAACTCTTTTAACTTATAAAGAGAGTTACCTGTAGCATCTATCTGTAAGTGGAGTAATAACCAATCTTGGAGTATTGCCAAGGTATTCATATCCATACCGCAATTCAGCATTTATCATCTTTGTTTCTAGATGCCCTTCCTAATGGAAGATATGAAATATACATATAAAAAGACTTAAGATAAATAGAAATAAAGAATAAGTAGGCTTGTAATACATCTAATATTAGAAACAATTATTATACATGTCCCTAAGCTGCTTTTCAAAAGGCAACTGGACTTTCTTGGGGGGTTTTTTCCCTTGAAGCTTCTTCAGTTCTGACTGAATGGTGGGGAATGGAAAGATTTATATTCTTTGCAGTCATCTGGTCATTAGCTCTCTGAAGGTTCATCATTAGCTCTCTGAGAGTAGTTGTCGCCATTTGGGGATGTATCTGTACTCCCAGGGCCATCTGAATTAGATCTGGTGCTTTCTCAACTTCAATCTCTTTTTGGGTGGCTTCTCCAAATTTGGAGCAGGACTTTGGGGGAAGGGTTTGGGAGTGTTTGGTTTGATTTGGTTTGAATTATCGTACTGGTCAGAAGTTAGACCTCTCTGAATAACCTCTTCCCAACATTTCAGTTTGAACAGAAAAAACAACTGTATTTGGGAAAACAGAAAGTAGGGAGGGAAAGAGAAATATCTACACCAATGGAGGCTTTCCTTAAAATGACGAAAGCGTAGTTGTACCAGTATGCTCCGCCCCTTTCATATGAACATGTGACATCATGATGCAGTTCAAAAGGGCCAGAGCTTGCAATAGGATGCCCAGATGATCACATTGTAATTTATCCCCTTGATTCTTTTTTCATTAATTAATCAGGCTTAGCTATTTATAAGTTCCCTAATTGAGAAAGTTCTTGGATTTCAGAACATGCATGGAAAGAATACAGGCAACATCTGGACCTGCTGATTAGTTATTGTTAGGCATACTCTCGCTTCTATTTTATCTTTGAAGCAATTTTTAATATTTTTATAGGAATCTGAGATATGTGAAAGCCAGTCCCTTTGGGGAGACTGACCATTGTTCATGGTGTCAGAGGACCAGATGGAAGCAATAAATTGACATTGTGTTAGAATCCACCTTTCCAGTGACTGCACATTTAAAACCTTAAAAAGACAATCACCTTTTTACTTAAAAAAATATACATAAGAATGTATACATTGAATGGAAGAAAATATTATCTCTCACTTAATCAGGTTAACCAGCATGGAAAATGATTAACTTTTAAAAGTTTAAAGGTTTCCCCTTTCCAATTGTGACTCAAGAGGCAGTGCTCATTATCATATAGTGTTTGAGTAGATATATTGTTTTTACTTATTGCTTTATTAGAGTTAAAGTAGGTATATATTGATTGTATTATGTTTGTTTAGCTAAATTGTAATTTAGATATGGAATGGGATGTGTTTTAATCCTGTATTTGGTTCCCGGAAGTCCAGGGGGGGAAGGGGATTAGGGGAATTATAAAAATTGATGTATTTACATGTTATAGGTAAACTATAATTGTATTGATAAGAGGAGATGCTCGGCTGGTATCCCAAATTGCACTCGAGGAGGTGGTTAGAAAGGAGATGGGACGTAGGTAGGTGGAAAGGAGGAAGGAGGAGAGGTTGTGGGTTAGAGGGAGGAAGGATAGGAAAGTGGATGAGGGTGGAGGCAAGGCGGGGACTGCCGAGCGTCTCCGACAATATATTGATTTGGATTACTTTTTTCTCTGTTTGTGTATGTAAATGCATCATATTGCTATTTGTTGTTTAATTATAAAAATCAATAAAAAATTTATTAAAAAAAAAAAAGAGGCAGTGCTCATCTCTGATTCTCAGCCAAGGGAGTCTGCATTGAAACATCTCTGTTTCCATCTTCATGTAAAGTAAAAGGTAAAAGAGTCCCTGCTGACTATAAGAAGCGGTGCTCATCTCCGTTTCAAGGCCATTGAGCCAGCGCTGTCTGGAGACATTTCCACGGTCATGTGGCCAGCATGATGCCATGGAGCGCTGTTGCCTTCCCACTGAAGTGGAACCTATTTATCTATTCACATTTGCACGCTTTCGAACTGCTAGGTGGGCAGGAGCTGGAGCAAGTAACGGGAGCTCACCCCGTCATGAGGCGCACAGGTCTCAAACCTGGCCTGCTGTCTTTCCAGCCAACAAGCCCAGTGTCTTAACTGCTGAACCACAGCGCCACCCTCTGTTAACTTGAGACCAGCATGAAAATATGGAATGCAGTAACAGGGGCTCACCTCATTGTGCATTGCTCAGATTTCAAACCCAGGCTGTCGGCTTTCCAACTGACAAGCTCAACATCTTAACCACTGAGCCACCATGCCACGATTGACTTTTATTGGAAAATAAAGAAGCCGATGACACACCCTAAATCTACTTTGATTTCCAAAGTAGATTTATAGAACAGGTAGGTTCACACAAGACCAAGTAACCCTATCAAGTAACCTTCAGATAATCCAGGCTATAAAAATCAATGCCACTGATTACGTGGAAGTAGGGAGCAGATATATGATCGGTATAATTCATATAAATGAATTCATATAAAACCCCAGACTACATTGACATTTTTATTTAACACATACAGAAGCTTGCAATAGCAGGCTGGGATAATTAATTCTGCCTCCTCTACTGTGGTTTTGATGAAAAACACTCTTTTCCAGCAGTTATTTGCATGTGCACTAAGACAAATCATAACTCTAGTATGAATATATATTTGCAGGAAAGGTGCTTTTCTACCACTTCTCATTTCAAAGCATCCTGAACAAGTGTACAAACCCAAAAACTCATAAAATAAACAACGGAGTAAAAATCTGGATTAAAAAAAAGAATAAAAACAATGTATTAAAACACATTTATGGAGGAAAATAATTGTTGAGGATGATTTCTAAAAGAAATCTAAAAAATGTCACTGTTTGGAGGCTGGCATACCGCACCCATTCCTCAGGTAAGGTAGACACCTGAGTTGACTATCTCTACTGTTTCATTAATTCTGCACTATATCCTCTACTAATATGTCCTATATTAGTAAGTTCAAATTATTTTAGAAGACCCTTACCAAATACATATTAACACTAGAAACACTAAATGATTATTTGATACTTTTAGAAGTCAGTACATTTGGCACTTTCATATCTAACACGATCGGTCATTGTCACTATTCACTGTGTCACATTCAGTTAACGGAAAAAGTGTCAACTAAGCTATTTTAAAATAAAGAAATCAACAAGCTTTTTGGAAAATGCATGATATTATGTCTGAGGCATTTTGCATTGGAAAAAGGCCTATCTGAGGTAACGTCCTGCTAATATTGTATTCCATATAATAAATATAGGTTCTCAATAGTGTGAATCTAACAAAAGTCAGATTAAGGCCAGTCAGCTCAAAAAAGTATGATTCCTTTAAAACAATAAAAGCAGGACTTATCCAACAATTTCAGGAAACTCAATTATGGCATTTGACAGAAAGTTTTATCTATAAGTCTCCTGCAAATTCAGCAAGTATGTAGGGATTGTGGGCATGAAAAAGTCATTTTAATTATAAATGGTATACATATGGCTATTAGATATCTTTACTTCACATCATGCAGAAGGATGGGTAAAATCTTTGGTCATCAGCAAAAAAAGGCTCATATTAGTGTATCTTTCCTCCTATGTCAGCAATGAGTCCCAATAGAAAAGCTGAGTGCAGAAATAATCTCCTAATAGGATTCACAGAGACATCCCTCACCTGCCAATAGTATCTCAGCTGACTTAACCATTCAAAGTCGCTGTCATCACTGACACGCTTGCTTACAAGAGACACAAGCACATCCCTAGCGTGAACATCCAGGACCACAAGTGCTCCAAGGGTCACTCGATTCTGTTTTGACAACTTTCCGCGCACCAAGGTGACAATGCCGTCAATCTGCCCATTGCACTGGGTCAGGTAATCCTCAAGGGCCTGAGTGAAAAGGAAAAACCAGAGAGAAGTGAATTAGCTCCAAACGTCAACATCAATGTCTACAGCTCTGCTAACTGCTGCTTTTAGAAGCGATTTCGCCTTTCTACTGCCGTCATCTTGACAAGCAATTGTTCACTGGCACATTTCAAATGTGTTTTCTTTTAAATACACACATACATTACATGCATACATCATTCGAGGAGTTCTTCTACAATGGAAAGGCTTTTGTGGAGGTGTCTGCCATCCGAAGGGAGAAAAGTGATGATAGCTGATTTCCATCCATCTTCACCTGTCTCCCAGTCCACCACTTGAATTATTTCATAGCGTTCCTCAAATTTTTCAGAGTACTGTAGATTTTTATTTTTTTTTTGGTGCCAAAGGGGAACAAAATAATCAACCAGGCACAGGATTTTTATTTCTATGACAAGACCTTCTCAGTCCAAACTTTATCCCACTGAAATCAAGGGGGATAAATTAGGCATTTGTCATAGGAAGGGCAATCCTACTTCATTTCTCAGAGAAATCTGTATGGAAACTCCAAAATTCACATGCCCTACAGGTTTTCTGCCAAAAGGGAAGGAAATTTTATCTGTAGCTGTTTCCTCCCTTTGCTTGCTTTTTCTCATCCAATTTTCCCAATTTCTCTTCCACCGAAACTAATGAAATAATTTACTCTACTCCAGATGTACATCTCTTTGTAAACGAAAAGAAGCAATAAGCTCAATGTCAAGCATCTTCTGAAGCTAGTCAGCCCTACACAGAGCATCCAAATGACATTCTTTAGAAGCAATGGGATTTTCTGCTCTTCAAACATCTGCTCTTAAGACACTATTAGCTTCAACTCCACATGGGAAGTAAATTGAGGCCTCTGATGATTAGTCGATAGCTTTGCTAGAAGTATTCCTTTATACTGTTATCCTGACTTCCCCTTGCTACAGCTACACAATTTTTAAATTTCACTTCTGTAGTAAGAGAAAGCCAGACCCTGGCAATAAAAAATGCCAGTGAAATTCTCCACTGATGGAAACGAAGGAGTGGGGAAGTGTGTATGTGTGTGTGTGGGGGGGGGGGAATACCACAAATATCTGAAGCCCTGTCAGCAAGTTTTTATTAAAATTACAGTGGTTAAATTTACCACTGTAATAACCTGAATGTGGTTCTCATTGAAACAAATGGGACTTAAATCCTAACTGACTTGTTACAGTAATTTTAACTAAATACAATTAACTTATTCTGGGCACACTCCTTTTTTTCTTAGCTTAGACGCAATCCAATATTTCTCTTTTAATAAAGAAAAACAGGTCTTGGAAACATTATCCATACAGATATGAAGTATTTTTTAAAGACTGGACCTAGTGAACCACATTTTATCATTTTATAGTATTATACAATAACAAATCCAATAATTTTTTCATGCCATAAGATGTTTTGCTTCTACTGAAGACAAGGACATAACATAAGGACATTCTAGAAGGTATCACACATGACATTTGTTCATGTCAGATCAGAAAGAGCAGGGGCAGGGGCAGGGGCAGGGGGCAGGGCAGGAGGAGAGGACAGGAGAGGAGGGGAGGGGAGGGGAGGGGAGAGGAGAGGAGAGGAGAGGAGAGTTCACCAGTGTGTAGGGAAACATTACCAATAAAGAAAACATTATGTTTTACTATCTGACTACAGTAGTTGTATTAATAACTTGGAGTATTTTTACCTTTCAACTTTTCTATTGCATTTATGAAGGTACAAATTTGGAAAAGAGCTCTGCAAATTATTTCATACATTGTCTACTGGTTCAGACACTGTCATATTACCAATTATACAGGTTGTCCAAACTGGTTATTAATATCTTCTAAAGAAGATGGAATTATTAAACACTTCACATACTGTTGAAACATTCCTACCTGCTGGCCATTTTTAATAGCTGTTTGCACTTCAAGAGTCCAAAAAGCCTGGGATACACAAAGAACTGTCTGTCCGGGCCATTCCCTGACCCAGTTTACACGGAGAGATTTTGGATAAGCATCTATTGCAGAACCAATCACCTGGAAGTACAAAAAAATGAAAGCCTTGCTAAGTAAACTAGAAAGCAGACCCCAAATATCTTTTGTCATGACCTTTTCGTTCTGCCTGTATAACCTTACTCCACCAGCTCCAATGAGCATCAGACACTATATTAGTTAGAGCTCAACATACTGTATATAGAGAAATCCAAGTTGCATGACTCTCCATGAACACTAAACAGAACAGAAACCCCTTGTGACTCAGCCCTTCATATATTAGAACAGTTACATGAATTTTTAACCAGTATGGTCGTACTGAAAGTGCTTCTTCTGCCAGAATATGAACTATTCGTTCAAATAAAAATCTGAATGTTTTGCAATGAAAAAATGTGATCAGCCAATATAGTAAGTGAACTTAAATAAAAAAAACAAATTGACACAGAAAAAAAGTCCATCTACCACTTTTATCAGATTGTACACAATATGAAAAACTGTCACAGAATCTACAAAAAAAACTGTTGTTCTTTCATTGACTATAATATTGTATCTTTCATACTAGGTTTTTGTTTACCCAGTTCATGCAAAAACTAATAAGACTATATATGATACTGAAATTAATTAAAAAGAAGAAAATTCTTGGTTATAAATTTTAGAATCATTAATAAATAAAATATAAAGAGATCAAAGAGATGGAAAGTAAACATGACTTAAAAAAATAAAAATGTGTTCTTCCTGAAAATTCATAAACAGAATAAATTAAAACTGAAATGATTTTCAGAGATGGCATCTAAAACCTTTTTTATAAAAATGAAAATCTGCAGAGAGAAATGTCAGATAAGAGCTTTCCATGTCACCTTGATTCATCTTAATGTAACAATTTAGTTTTTTTCGTTAATTTAAAAACATGCTTTATAAGAATATTCAAAAAACTTTCTTTCCTCTTCCTTCTCCTCCTCCTCCTCCTCCTCTCCTCCTCTTCCTCATTCTTTTTTTTTGCTATCATAACTAATATTGCTTTTAATACCATCTCAAGAGAGCCACTTTGGTGTAGTTCAGGGCTAGGCAACCTTGGCTCTTTTATGACTTGTGGACTTCAACTCGTAGAATTCCTCAATTCCCATGCTGGCTGAGGAATTCTGGGAGTTGAAGTCCACAAGTCATAAAAGGGCCAAGTTTGAAGACCCCTGCCTTAATCCATAGGAGTGTCCTGTGCACCTTAAGGTATAAGCTCTTGATTACAACTGACTATCTAGCACTGTGATCTGTGAAATGTCTGTAATGCATGTGAGTTACAGTTTGGCATGCAGCAAGGTGAATTCAGAAGAGTGTGGTGTAGCAATCATTTATCATTTGTTCAACTTTACTATTGAATTGCTTTCCCCGATGCCTTTATTCCTTTGTATTTTTGGCTGTGTGATACACTCATTAGTAAGGCCTTCAGTATATATTCTCAGATTCTGTTTCTATCTGTAACTTTCTCCAGTCTTATCACAAAAAAGTTGACAGCTAAGAAATTTAAACAGATCTCCATGTTACACTGCTCTCACTGGTACTTCTGCCAAACTATTCACTCTGGGGAGTGCATGCTTGACTTACTGCTGTTTAAATGCTTTATTTTTATACGAAGATGATTTAAAGGTGAAGCAGTCCTTTAAGGACCACAAGGACAATCAGAAAAATTGGATCTAAAATCATAAGGTATCTTTTGTCTGATTAAAATTTGTAGCAAAGCAACGATGTGTTTATTTCTTTTTTAAAAATCTGTAGATTGATCAGTTTAACGCAGAAGAGGAGGCTTACAGATGGCTGACATCTCAGTACCCTCAGCGTAAAAAAATTCAAGATACTCTGAAACCATACCTTCAGCTTTATGAATTGACAGTAGAATTTAACACCAAATATAGGAACTGGATGGATGGAATATTCACTAAAGTGAATCCAGATCAAGTTGAGCAAGACACGGGAAACACTTGGTGTGCACTGTATAAGTTAGAAAGAACTTTCCATGACTCTCCAAATGCATTATTTCTAACAACAAGGATCAAGACAAAGGTAGAAGAATTCCTGAGCCAGCATAGCTGGGCTAGCTAGCTCTCTCCTGCCCTTCCTGCTTCCTGCAGAGACGCAGCAAAGGGAGGAGCCCCACCCAAAAAGCTTTTCAGCTTGTCAGAGAACACTGTGAGTCCACTCTCTTTTACACACACACACACACACACACACACACACACAAACACAAACACAAACACAGAGAGAGACAGAGAGAGAAGCAGGGAAGCGCAAGTGCCTCTCTCTGTCTTTCTCTGCAAATGGCAGAGGAGGCTGGGAGCCACAGGAGAAGGCTCAAAGAGCCACATGCGACTCCGGAGCCGCAAGTTGCCGACCTGTGAACTAGAGGTTGAATCTTTGGAATTAATTCTGACAACAGAGATATGATGTTTTGCATCTATCTATGCACCCAAAGGCTTCAATGACTGAATTAGACGAAATAAACTTTTGTTGTAATTCATTGGGAATTCACATGTCTAATGGCAAGTCAAGATCTGGTTTTGCCTCGGGAAAAGGGTGAGTGTGTGCAAATATGGCTACACACAGATGCCTTTTAATCTCAGATGCTCTAATACTGTCATCATTCCATGAAAAAATACTAAGAGCTGAGACCAGCACAAAAGATAATTACAACTGAAAATATTGAGGCATGAAAACCACCAATATATTACAGCAGCTGGTACATGCAAATAGGTTTCTAGCAGATCTGATGAGTGTAGAGGCTCTTTGATTGATTGTAATGTTTCTATCATTATCCTTGGTATTTCACAAACAGTTGACGTATTTCAATCTAAATAAACCTGCTATTCCTGTCCTTTTTTAAAAAAAAACAACCACAAAATATACGAAATTTCATTTTGATGTATGCTGATTGGTGTACTTTCAAAGTGACAGTAAAGTTGTTGTTGTTGTTGTTGTTGTTGTTGTTGTTATTATTATTATTATTATTATTATTATTATTATTATTTTGAGTTAGATCTTTGAAAATAGATCTGGGAATGATTCTATTGCTTAAATGTGAATTAGAGGATTTAAGGCTTGTTTGATGAATTCTTGACTTATAACTAACCATGAGAATGGGGAAGGGATATATCACTATTGAGACAGGCTGGTAAATATTATGTGGTTTCCTGTACTAATTATAATTATTATTGATTGATCTGATTTTGAGGGTAAAGTAGTCTTCTTCCCATTGAAGAACCTACAAAGATCAAGTTGCTGGCAACTGGCTCTGGTAGATTGAGTAAAATAGATTTGAATTGTACCAAAGTGACCTTATGATTTAGGATACATCTTTTTTTCTTAGACCATGTAAGCTTGGAAAGTCTACAGGCTCCTTGTGGTGAGAAGTTAGATCCTTGTTGGGATGATTTTTTTTCTTTGCTTGAACTCTGTTAAAGTATTTTAAAATGCGACTATGCTAGGATCAGATGGTTCTCTATCTCTGAACCTTAAGAGGACATATCATGAGGTTAGAATACTGAAGACAATTGAGCTGCTTGGAAAATATAGGATTCTCTGACCATGACATTTTTTTAGGTTTGGGAAGAAGAGAAGAGAATTAGAAGTGTCAGAGAGGGAATCCAATCCATTTGTTCTTGCTCTGGAGGGAACTGAGAATTAAATCTACTTTGAATTTCAAACAAACAAAAAAGAATTTCTTTAATTTAAATGCTGGGTTGAAAAGGCCCATTAATTATTTCCGCAGGGGGGGAAAGAATAACTGAAAAAAGACTAGATTTTTGGAAACCATACAAAATCACGAACACATGCTCCCTGAGAAGCAACAGAATAACAGTAGCAGTTATTATCATCAACAGTATGAATAAACCCTGTTTTTGCCCTCTGGTTGTCAAAAGACAAACAGCAGCCATAATCATTTTCAATTCTATTTGGGCATAAAATAGTAGCAGATGGGAAACTGGCGGTGGCTGCCTTTGTGAAACTGTGGATTTTGTTCTCTTTATTACTCTGGTGCCCCTCTTCAGACCCTCTCACTTTGGACACTGATGAACTGGTCTGTCTGAATCTTCTACTCCTATGGAGGCATGATCTCTGCAGGTACTAACAATGCCCTCAGGGATAAGGGTATTTTCTTTAAAGAAGCCATCCCAGCAGCTTTCCTCAGCTTCCTCAGTGTGATCCACAGGAGTTGCTGAGACATTGCTTTGATTTTTGCCCCCAAAGAAAAAGTCTTTCAGTGGAGGCAGAAAGGGAGCCTTGAGCCTTAATGAATCACATTACATTGATAAGATCTGTTTTCTAGTTGTTTTCCTTAGAATTCCTGCAAGGAAGAGAAAAATACAGAGACAGGAAATGATTAAATACTGAAAAGGAGGAAGGAAGGGAGAGAGAGGCAGAGACAGCTGCAGAAAGAATAAAGCAAAAAACGATCAAGAATTACAAGAATCACCATTGAAAGCACTGAGGAATCTGGTGAGGAAACATCTTTGAAACAATGACCCATCAGGGCACGAGTTGTCTAGTTTGTCTTAAAAAGACAAATATGACATTACATTACTTTTGTTACTAAACCATTTTTTATTCTGGGTTCCTTGTTTAAGCAAGGATGAAAATGTACATCACTTAAAGTACTCAAAACAATGATGCATGAAGCCTACCAAATTGTTAAATCCCATCCATATATTCTATTTTTTGCAGCTTTGAGTTCATCTTATTTATTCCATTCATAACTGGACAAATATCTAGCAATTAAAGTGCCCAACGATTTATATTTATTGGGCAACTGATTCATATTTATGACGGTTGCAGTGTCCTGGGGACATGTGAACAGCTTTTGTGACCTTCAATGGGGAAGCCAGGCTGACTTAACAACCCTGTTACTAACTTAACAACTGCAATGATTCACTTAACAGCTGTGGCAGGAAAGGCCATAAAATGGAGCAAAAGTTCCTTAACAAATGTCTCACTTAGCAGCATAAATTTGGGGCTCAATTGTGGTATTAAGTTGAGGACTACCTGTACTGGTATTGATCTATTACATATGTCTACAATATTGATAGAATGCAATATTTTGTACGAATGCAGTGAAATTGCCAACTATTGTTACATTTCTATCCCTCTTAAATATAACAGGAGCATTTACACATTTACAAGAAATCTTACAACTAAAATACAAAACATTTGGCAGAACAGAAACCTGACCAGTAGTTGAGCTTACAATTAGCATACAAACTATTGCAGATCATTTTACCTGACCCACATGTCATTTTTAATACTGAGTCAAATTATGTCCTAAACAAGACCAAACCAGGCAGAATATTTGTTGTATATAAGTGATTATTGTACAGTTTTAGATACTGCAGATACTGCAATGGAAGGATGGGAGAACAGCAGCAGATTGAGGACAGAGATCCTAACTCTTTCTTCTCTGCTATGATCCTAACTAAATCCCACCTCCACTGAAGCTGTTTCAGTCCTAGAAGGGGAATTTCCATTATTGCCTATGAAAGGCTAATCATAGCAAAGAGCTATTTGTCATAGCAATAGCAAGAAGGAAAGACTTCAGGTGCACCAGATTCCTGATTCATGCAGCCAATCCTAATGGAATAGCAATTTAAGAAGGGAGATGATTTTTTAAATCTTCCTGTGTTAATTGTTTTTACATAATTTATATCATGCCTGGTTTGGATTTTGAGAGATAATCTGCTTACTTTCTTATAATAGCCTAGATAATGACCTCAAACAAATTGTAATTTATTACCTTGTGGATGGAATTTATCATACTTGATTCCAATTCAACTAACCACTTTTCCACTTGGCCTCTCGCTTTAGCTGTTGATATTGTGTTGATAAGTTCCACAACTTCCCCTTCACTGCTTTTCATGTGTGTAATATCCAGGACTTCAGTAAACTCAACACTAGCAATTCCTTCAAAACACTTTTTCAAGTGAGGCTTTACTCTGAAGAAATCAAAGAGAGGATTAAGAAATAAACTTGGAGCCATGCGAGCTCTCACTTCTTTCAACAAAACACACTTTATGCCCAGAATGTTTGGATTAATAATGCTATCCGTATGAGTCAGAGAAGTAAGTTCTAACCACAGGCAGGATGTTTTTTATTTAGATATTTCATTCTCAAACAAACTGACAAAAAACACCCACAGTATATTAAAAAACTGTATTTTTGTTTAAAATCCTCTCCAAAGCATGCTAACATGGGGAAAGGATTCTGCTAAGAAACCATCTTACTAGATTTCCAACAAGGATGTTGAATGCACCAGGTATGGTATGCCACTTCAATGTATCTTGATGACTAAGTCATAAAATAAGAATAGACAATCTTTTTGCTGAGAGGGAGCACGCTTTTACTTTTAAAAATATTTTAGAGAGCACGGCGAGAAAACAATGGAATGCCTAGGGCTGAAAATATTGCTCTTCTTGCATTTTAGAGAGCTTTAAAGTCAAATCAGATGTATTATTGTGGGGTCCTTGGTGCTTTCTGAGAATGGTTGTTTTCTTGCAGACATTTTATTACCAAACTACCAGTGCTAGTAAGGAATGAGGTTTACTCTCAATTTATATAGCAATGGCTTTTCCTGTCCATGCTGGTGGGAGTGATCTTGGTCATCCTGCTCTCACCCAAATGAGCAGAGATTAACACCAAGATCAACACTAGACCAGACATGTCAAACTCGTGACGTCACATGACGCCATGCAACGTATCGGGATGGTTTTGCCATTGCTGGCAATGGGGTGGGTGTGGCTTCCGGATGATGCGTTCTGCCCGCGGGCCAGCAGTTTGATACCCCTGCACTAGACCAATAATCAAGAAGTAAACACTACTTCAAGGAACTAACTTAGCCAAATAAGCTAACAGTAAACAACTATCAAGGACCACCAAGACCTCTCCCACCAAGCCATTACTATATAAAATGAGAGCAAACCGCCTTCTAGCACTGATGATGTTACCTAGTTTGGTAATGAAATCTCTGCAAGAAAACAACCAAACTCAGAGAGCATCAAGGACCCCACAGTTCAACCCTGAGCTATAAATATTCTCTTCAAATGTATTATGCTTAACAGAGAAGGACAATGAATTTTCTTAGCAGGAGAGAACTGGGTTTAAATGGCAAACATTAAAGTAAAATATTGTAATAGAAGACCCCAAAGAAGATTGAAACACTCAAGATGGGAGATGATTCAAGCTCGGACCACAATTGTTGACAATGAGATTAAGTTCACATGTTTGCAGCATTATAAAAAAAAAAAGAAGCAACGTGACCTCTTGCCTACAGATTCATTATGAGGAATAAGTTGATGGAAACAAAGTTTTTGTACCTGTTTAATAAGATGAATTATAACCATATCCATAAAACATCAGTTTGGGAGAAGGGTGTCTGATAAAGCCAAATGTCCATTATATGTGAATTTACCTAGCACACATATACTTTATTTATATAATTTATGTCAAATTTGCATAGATTGCACAAAGTAAATTAATTCTGATTTTCTTTTTTGCTAACTGTGATCCAAAAATCAAGGTTTTACTGCATTTCTATAACTACTGGATAATATTAACTTTTAGTCATTCACCCACAAATTGTGTGCTCATTATGTAAACTATGTACAACAGGAATTACAACTATCCTAAATGTCCATCAAATAGTACAATACCTTGTAGGATCTTTAGTCTCTGAGAGAATCTCAAGGAGTTCATCATTGGATAAGAAGAAGAATCTAGGGAAGAACAGGCGTTTCTTTTCTAGATACTCATTTAGACCCTTAAGAATTAATTCTAACAACTCATTGCATTTCTTCAGTCGTTCCAGCATCTTCTCTATCATCACTACTGTAAGAACATGTTTGTCCTGAGAAAGACAAACATATCATATCATATACCATTCATATCAAAGTATATATAGTATCATTATCTCAATTTAAAAACTGAGCAATGCCTTAAGTATTTTCTCTAAAACTTTAAAACTAAAATGAGTCAGCTCAATTTTCTCCCATTTTCCAGGATACTTTTATGACAGTCTGAAAAGCTTTCTAAGATCTTTTCTTGTAGTGTGCTTAACCCCTTTGTGAAACAGCTAGGTAGGCTCTGAGACTGGTTTGGCGAATTCTATTTTTCAATTTCTATGCTTTTTGTAAATATATTATCCTTCCTCCCTTCCTTCTTTCCTTCTTTCCTTCTTTCCTTCTTTCCTTCTTTCCTTCCTTCCTTCCTTCCTCCTTCCCTCCCTCCTCCTTCCTTCCTTCCTTCCTTCCTTCTTCTGATTAAGCCATGAGAAGCTATGATGTGATATAAAGGTGCTCAACAATAAATACTGAAGAGTCAAAATCAAAATGTGAAGATTCACTGAACAGTGTCTGGAGATTCTGTATTCAGCATCATTTGACAGCCAAATATTGGGTGGAAACTTGCAGCCTAAGCACTTCCTCCACATTCCCAGACAACTTCAGCTTCTTTTTGGCTTCTCATTTCCTTAATTGAAACTGCTCACTTGACATGTATTCATCCATCTGCAGGTTGCTGCAAGGAAGTCCTTGTTCTTCATCTATTTCCCTGTAATTTTTCCCTCTGTCTCCCATAGATACAGTCTCTGTGAGCAGATTCCACCATACTTTCCTAGCACTTAATTTTCTTTGCAGCTTCAATTTTGTACGGTCAGGATTCTTTACCAGATTGCTTTTCTTTCCTCTTCCAGCTAGAGTGTATAAAGGTTGGCCTTATTCCATTATTCATTTGGGGTTTGTTTGAGTTTCTTTCCAGGCAAAATCATTTTTTAAATGATTTTATTTCCACTTAAAACATCCTTTTAAAAGTCTACACAAAATTCCTACACATTTTGTTATACTTTTTTTTTCCACTATGGAATTTTTGCATGCCTTGTCTAATGTATGTCTCTTATTCATTTTGCCTAATGTATTGCTCACATTTTTGAAAGCAGTTCGTCCTTTTTACACATACAAATTTGCATTATACAGTGTGAAGAAGAAAATTTTTGGCTTTTATGAATGTTTGGGTTTACAGTTGCATTTGGGAAACACAAATCAGTATATGTGTCAAGATATGAACTGAGCAAATATCTGCTCCTGTCTATAACCTCTAGTAGAAAAAAATGTTTTTCAAAGGAAGCCACATTAGCCCCCTCAGGTGGCAACGTTATGCATCTAGGTTGTGTTTAGCTCAAATCACTGTTATACCCTGTCAGATTTTCACATGAAAACTTGGCATTCAGATAAATCATTTCTTCCTATTTAGGCACTTGGACTATTATACCACTGTTTATCATCTACGACCTTGATGAAATTTGAAGATTAAATGAGACTGCCATGAGTTATGGGTTTTTTTCAAAATAGTAATACTGGGCCAAAGATAGAAAAATAATTGCTCTAGTGTGCCATGATTAGCTGTTCCATAAAGAAGCTACAAATTACCATAGGTTCTCATCCTTAGGGCTTTTTTTCTTAATATAATGTCTTCGATTTTTCTTCCCATGCAGAAAAAGATCAGTCCTGTGGACCATTTGTTTATCAAAAATAGCAATGAAATCAAAGAGCAATTTCATCCTCATTGATTTGAGCCACACAGAAAAAAAAATTATTCAAATCTAGGGTAAAATACAGGGCAATCCAAAAATATGTTTACAGTTTCTAGCTGTTGCTGTAAAACACAACTGCAAGTCAAAAAAAATCAACACATGCCCTGAGATTTAATTTATGCTGAGAAGGGAAATATAGTACCTATAAAATCGAGTAATAATTTCTAAACATATACTGCCATCTTCTGGGAGGAAATACAAAGGTGTTTTTTGTTCACTTGGAAATGTCAGAAGTACTAACTGGTACAGACAACTACATGAATACTCGACAAAAGCACTAGACTTCTGTACTGCGCAGCCCACCACGAGCACACATTTGAAAATAAGTCATTTGGGATTACTCCAAAGAAAGCAGCACAGCATTGCGACTAATAACCTAATCCTTACATATCTAATTCAATTCAGTGACTTAATCCAGGACAGTCAAATGTGGATTTAAAAAAGAAACAATTCTCTATTCGAAGATGTCAGGGTGACAATTCTTTGGTTATACTTCATTTGAAGATTTAAAACCATTTATTATAGGTGTTTGTCTGTTTCTTATTCTCAGATTGCAGGAAATCATACCACCATTTTCAGCAGTTGTATTTGGAAGGGAAAGCAATGGCCACAAAACACGGATAGTCTTTGGTCAGATGGGGGTTAAGTATAATGAAATTTAACAAAGGACAGCAGGGGTAACAGTACAGTGAATGGTGAGTGGAGTGACATCGATCTAGCTAAACAAACAAAGAAATATCTGCACAAAGGCTGTTTATTTACTTCTTTATTGTATTTACTTAGTTCCCTCCCAAGACTGTTACTCTATATTCAGTGTTCTACTGCATTATCTCTAGGATGCAATATATTTAAATTGTAGTAAAAATTTCCAGATTCATACACCTTTTATGCAAAGCTATGCCCCCTTTTATTTACCCACTGTCTTTGGAAGGGAAGAAGGGACATCCATCTTTTTTCATGTGTACTGCCCTAATTTAATTTCACGAATAACAGAATGCATACAATAAAGACATGAACAAAAAACATATCTTTCCCATGTTATAATTAATTGTTCCAAAGAGAATTTTTACTACCTGAATGGCATGTTTCATGATATCCTTCCAAGTTTTGTCCACAGTGGTGAATCGTCTACCTTCTTCAGGCATCTGAGCCATAATGTCCGGAGAAGTAAAAATTGGCTCCAAATAAAGCCAGGTAGCCTGAACTTTCAGCCACTCATCCAAGATTTCCTGTACCAACAAAAGTTTTGACTCCCAGTCTCTATAGAACAGAACAAAATGAATCGAGCATTAGATTGTAGAACATTTCTGGAGGTTTGGATGGAAAATAAGCCACTGGAATTCCAAGGTAGATATAACTCATGTGGTTCCCAGAGAAGAAAAGCAATCCTACTCTCTTGATGTAAAGAAAATGGCCTTGAAGGAGGGGAGGAAGAACTGCTGCCAAAGCAAGAGTCAGATAAAAGAAACTTGGGTCCAAGGCAGAGCTATAACCCAAGAAATCAAAAATAAAGGGAATGAGGCCGGGAGGCACATTCAGTCTTGCAAGATTCTGTCACTACAGCTTTACAATACAGTAAAAGTGGTGTGGGCTTGCATAATTTTGGTTTCCTAGTCTGATCTCCCTTTTCTTTCCCAGAAAAGAAGTTCCATTCATACAGCCAATTCTATTCATATAAGTACTGTAGTTATTTATAGTTTTTTACCTCCCCAGTTTATTACAGGGCAGAGAGAGAATAACAACCAAACAAATCAAATAATAAAATATAGTAAAATGCCTGCCCTCCTTCCCCACTAGGCATTAAGATGAACAAATGTCCATTTTTAAAGGAGAGTTTTAGACTTTTACAAAGTCAGAAATAAGGGGATCCAGCAAATTTCCATGGCAGCATGTATCATATATTTGCATGGTCCCTACCTTCTGGTCTACACCTTCATGTGGGAGCAGCACCCTAAGCAGACTTACTATCAATGTATTAGAGGAGGGGCAAAATCATTTTGATGAGCCACTGCCTAAGGTAGCTTGGTTCAGTAAAATAAAGACTTTACCAGTAAAGATAAGCACTTTGAATTGGGGCCAGCAAAGCAGTAACCTTCCAGTTGCTATCATTCTACAATAAAAACATCTATGTCCAGGCCTGAATTCTGATAGAAACAGGTCCATATAATCTATTTTGTTTGATTGATTGATTTTTATCCCACTTTTATTACTGTTTAAGTAACCCAAGGCAACCAACATGCATAATATTCATTCCCCCTCCTATTTTTCCCACAACAACAATCCTATGAGGTGGGTTGGGCTGAGAGAGAATGACTGGCCCAAAATCTCCCAGCCGGCTTTCATGTCTAAGGCAGGTCTAGAACTCGCAGTCTCTTGATCTTTAAGCCAGCAATTTAACCACTACGCTACACTGACTTCCTATTTCTTGTAAGATCCCCCTATAGCAATTTCTTCTTCTCAGTAACTTTCTGTTAAAAAGGAAGCTTGGAGATTAGGCAGAGGCTGTTCAGTAGGCTTCTTTAAGACAGGTCATACTAATGGCTCTTCGAAGACCAATGGGTTTTCATTGTTCTATGGAGACACAATAGTCACCTCTTAAAATCCAGCCATCCATATACCCACCTGGCCATCCAAAAGAGGAAGTTTAGGCATGCGTGCAAACCACAGATACCATAGTTCATACTACAGACACTTCATGTCTGCTTCCTCCCGTTCCACAAGCTAAAAAATCTCTGCTGACATCACAAGTTGTTACCTCACTCACCTCACCTGATTCTAGCATTGATGAGTTTACCTACTTTGGGTAATGAAATGCCTGCTAAACAAAACAATCAAGCTCAGAGAGTACCAAGGAGCCCTCATTTCAACCTGAACTACAAATATTCTCCTTTATCGGTACCACATATGGGTGTTGAACCCTTCAGAAAGCATACAAATGGGGAAAAATTGCCTGCAGGCACACTTCCTAGCACTGATGATGTTACCTGGTTTGGGTAGTGAAACATTTTCAAAGAAAACAACCAAGCTCAGACAGCACCAAAGACCCCTCATCTCAACCCTCAGCTACAAATATTCTCCTTTATTGGCATCACCTGGTTCTGCTCAACTGTCATGTAACCTGAGCACATGTGAGAAACATCTGCAAAAACATCTGCAGAAGCCTTAGTGCAAGTGCCTTGTTGTTTCCATCCTTCTTTAAAGGAGTCTGAGTCATAATCAAGAGGACCGCTATTCAACAATCTATGGGCTCAATAAGAGTATGCTTTGCATTCATATTACTACTGTGAAGGCCCAAACTTGGGCATGTATCAGATTCACCTTCTGAACCAAGAAGTCCCAGATTCTATTTTCAAAATACACGATAGACATAAATAAAAGATACAGCCAATTAGCACAAACCTCTACAACAATGCACCCTGAATACTGCCAAAGGACAATTGAATTATTTAAAAGAAGCACTGTGTATGAGCTGGTCAGTGTACGTTCAGATCCCTAAAAGAGTTCTAAGAGTTAGCAAAAGCTATAATAATTGCATTGCTGGAGAGATAAATAGCAGGGCAAAAAAGGAGGACATAACAGTCTCCTGCCTTAGGCCAAGTCAAGTCCCAGGCAAAAAGTAGAATGTGACAAGAATTTAAAAAAAACACACACACACACACACACACAAGCTCTCCCATCCTTTTGTTTATAACTTTTTGGAAAATAGTATTTTGAACCCTGCAATGTTTTTCACCCCTGGAGATAACCAAAGTCTGATGAAATCAAAAAGTTTCTCCTGGCAAAGTAGCATATACTTGCAGAATGTATTATTTTCCCTACTCCATGTGCACAATCTACAATTTTCTTTTGCTTTTCAGAGCCCCATGAAGAAACAAACTGGAGTGAAATGAATTTTAGGGGGAAACTGTCAGTCCTTCAAGATAGACTAGACTAGGAAACCAAAGTAGGGTAGACTAATGCTATTTTTATTGTAAAGTTAAGGAACAGAACCTTGCAAGTCTGAATGCACCTCCCCCTTCCTTCCTTTATGTTTATGTAAAATAGGGAGGAGCTTTTCTGAGATAGCTACAGTTCTGTCCCAGACTCTCTTTTCTTTTATTTGACTGTTGCTTTGACAGCAGTTCTTCCTCCTGTCCCTCAAGGCCATTCCTTCTACCCCCTACAGAAATAGGAATGACAAAATATTTCTGCCCTTGCTTACAGGATTCCCACTCAACATATTAAGTGACCCAACCTTTCTGTTTCCTCTGCTGAATATTAAATCAATAACTGACATTTTCCAATAAGTCTGCCTTTCAAAGATAGCTTGATTCCCAGGGCAAAGCAATTTCACAAATAAGCCAAGTTCACTTGTGTATAATGTCAAATCTCTTAGGAAACATTTTACGATACCTCATTTTTTTCTCATAAGGTTTGATAAAAGGAGATCCTCTCATGGTCTGAGTTTTGACTATGTGGTCATCCAGCAACATTTGAATGTCATCTACAGCTGATAAAATATAAGTCCCTGTTTCTCTGTAAGGAAGGAGAATAAATTCCATGGTATCCCATTCTGAAATCATTTTCACCATGGCCTTCTCAAGTGAATGTTCTTTGCTGGCTGTTTCACTAATGCTTTCAAATTTTTCTAAATATTGCTCAAGATGCATATCAATATAAGAAGAGACCGTTGAATCTTCAGAAGGCTTCAGAGGGTACCCGGCTATATTTGACATGGCCTCCCAATGACGATCTTGCAAACCAGGGTTGCAGATTACTTGAACCAATGGAATGTGTTCCTTAAATTCTTCCACCTTGGTCTTGATCCTTGTTGTTAGAAATAATGCATTTGGAGAGTCGTGGAAAGTTCTTTCTAACTTATACAGTGCACGCCAAGTGTTTCCCGTGTCTTGCTCAACTTGATCTGGATTCACTTTAGTGAATATTCCATCCATCCAGTTCCTATATTTGGTGTTGAACTCTACTGTCAATTCATAAAGCTGAAGGTATGGTTTCAGAGTATCTTGAATTTTTTTACGCTGAGGGTACTGAGATGTCAGCCATCCGTAAGCCTCCTCTTCTGCGTTAAACTGATCAATCTACAGAAGTCAGATGGATTTTTTTAAAAAGAAATAAACACATTGTTGCTTTGCTACAAATTTTAATCAGACAAAAGATACCTTATGATTTTAGATCCAAATTTTTCTGATTGTCCTTGTGGTCCTTAAAGGACCGCTTCACCTTTAAATCATCTTTGTATAAAAATACAGCATTTAAACAGCAGTAAGTCAAGCATGCACTCCCCAGAGTGAATAGTTTGGCAGAAGTACCAGTGAGAGCAGTGTAACATGGAGATCTGTTTAAATTTCTTAGCTGTCAACTTTTTTGTGATAAGACTGAAGAAAGTTACAGGTAGAAATAGAATCTGAGAATATATACAGAAGGCCTTACTAATGAGTGTATCACACAGCCAAAAATACAAAGGAATAAAGGCATCGGGGAAAGCAATTCAATAGTAAAGTTGAACAAATGATAAATGATTGTTACACCACACTCTTCTGAATTCACCTTGCTGCATGCCAAACTGTAACTCACATGCATTACAGACATTTCACAGATCACAGTGCTAGATAGTCAGTTGTAATCAAGAGCTTATACCTTAAGGTGCACAGGACACTCCTATGGAGTAAGGCCGGGGTCTTCAAACTTGGACCTTTTATGACTTGTGGACTTCAACTCCCTGAGGAATTCAACTGGCTGAGGAATTCTGGGAGTTGAAGTCCACAAGTCATAAAAGGGCCAAGTTTCAAGACCCCTGGATTAAGGTAATGAGAATCCCTGCAAAAGAACCATCAACTCTAGAATCTTGATGAACTTCCACAACCAGGGTAGAACTTTTTCCATTAAAGATAACTACAAAATTTTGTTGAGCTATTGTGTTTAATTTTAAGGTGCTTCCAACATATTGCAAAACCCTTAAAAAGATATCTCTATTAAGGCAGTGCTAGTAGAAACATTCATTTAACTTTAATAAGGTCAAGGAATAATTACATAAAACATTTTTAATTGGGGTAAACAGATTTTATCTCAACACACAGAGAAATAAAATCATGATAAGCCAATTGTTCACTGGAAAATCACAGGCTTGGGATACAGAACATTAGAAGTTCAAAAGCCAGCATTTTAAAAAAAAACAAAAACGGGGGAGGGGGGTTGGGAAAAAACCCAGAGGGCATCTGTCAGCATAGACAGAATTAAGCCAATTGGACCAAGACGCTCAATATAAAGCTGCTTTTTTATATTTCCATAGTTTGTAATGATTTCAAATTTAAATAAAGCATATACAAAATATAGATTCAGTCAGATCATGGGTCAAATATTCTCAGGCTCTAAAAGATCTTCAAAAATCTATCTTCTGCGATCCATTTACTGAATCCGTGTTGTTCACTATGGTAACAATGTGTTTCTTCACTAAATTAAGACAAAACCTTAATTATAACAAAAAGAGAAGGCCTTACCTTATCAGCAGCTGCATCTAACTTGGTATTCAGGGCTTGGGCTTTTTTCAAATATCTATTGACCTCTTGAATGTCACCGTAAGAATAAAATTCTTCAACTTGCTTAGCATAACTCTCCAGTTCCTCCACAAATCTTTCACAGCGCATCTAAAAAATCAAAAATCCAAATACATTAGATAGAAAAGCACAGATAAACTGAGATAAACTGTTCAGCATTACAACATAATGGTGCAACTTTGCCACTATTTACCATTTTCACTATTGTAATCAGCCAACTGCCTGAAAAGTAATCGGTTTAAATCTTCTCCATGGCACCAATTGATATACATTTTTAAAGGATTAGGATTAAATTCCAATAGGTAACACTAAAAACTGCATATTGCTAAGCCTCAGGCTATAATTACAGGCAAATGCTTCACCTAATATCCCTATTTGCATGACAGATACAAATACTAAATAAGCACTTCAGTGCAGATAAGGAATAACATCTGGATATACATTTTCATCTACACCAACATAGCAGAACTTGTCTAAATATGTAAATCTGTCTTGCTAGATCAAAACAACTTCATTTTATTTCAGATATTTTGATATGGCCAATGTCATATATCTATTCAACGTAGTAAACTCTTCATTATCACTTGTCCAGAGCAGTTAATAGCTATCCACTATTTTTAAAGTGAGAGCTGCTGTATGCAAATTTGATTATCTCAGCAAATTATTCAAAGTAAAAAAGAACACTAACTTTAAGTCCTTCTTGAAACTGTTCAGTTTTTTCTTTAATGATCTTTCTGTGTTCTTCGAAAATCTCCCCCATTCGTCCATACCACTGGAAAACGCTATTATTTAGTCGAATATCAACTGGTGAAAAGTTTGCACATTCTATCAGGAAGGCCAGGGAATTTTTGACATCAATTAATTTTTGTTCCATTTCCAGCATGTCAACTTGTTCCACTTTCTCTATATACGCCTGTTTGGGAAGAAACATTAAACAACTGGAGTCATTTCTGAACACTAAACACAGAGCAGGGTTTACATGCTAAAATTCATTAAAATCAAACCATACTATCATGTTTCCCCGAAAATAAACTCCAACCCGAAAAAAAGACCCACCCTGATTTGTGGGGTGGGCCTAATATAAGCCCTTCTCCAAAAATAAGCCCTAATTACGACCCTGCCCACTCCATCCCTGCTGCAGGAAAATGGAGTTTATGGGACTAACTTCTTGCTAAAAAAAAAAAAAAAAAAAAAAGATCTCGCGAAGTTGGAAGGTCTGACTGAATTTTTTTTAGTCCCATGAACTCCATTTTCCCGCAGCAGGAGAGAAACATGCCAGAGTTGGAAAGCAGGTTAGTGAAGGTTTTTTTTTTTTGCTTTCAGGAAGAGGGAGGACTGGGCGATGCAGGTTGGCAAGCAAATGCTCTTCACTGCTCTGCATCGCTGCACAGAGCCGCTCCACTTCCCATTCTCTGTTCTGTCCAGTGGCGGCGACAGAGGGCTGGCAGAGGGAGGCAACAGTCATGGCGTAAGCCACGGGAGTGTTGGTGGAGGAGAAGGAGGTGGCAGCTGTCGCCAGGCAGGTGATCTGTGGGGCGGAGTGTGAAGAAAGCCCCCCAGCAGCACACAGTGGCAGCGGAGCCTTTTATTGTCACTCCCCCCAGCTCCAAAATGGTGGAGGGGGACCAGATCTACCCCACCCATCCTCCATACAGTAACGTGGCAGTTCGGCTTGGGAGGGGAGTGAAAGGGAGTAAGAAATGGCCTGGCTGGAGGGGCTCTGAAGGAAGCAGGTGAGGGCCGCATGGGGCAGTTCCACCCCCTCCCCCACCTGCCTCGCCTCATTGTGGCGGAAGCGGCGCGATGTGCCGCACGGCCTCCTGCTGCGAGCGGCTACAGAAGTGGGCCAGCAGCCATGCAGGCTCCTGCTGGATGGGGCTGTTGGTGCCGCCACTGCGAGATGAGGCAGGTGTCACGAAAAATATAAGACACTGACCGAAAGTAAGACCTAATGCCTCTTTTGGAGGCAAAAATAATATAAGACCGGGTCTTACTTTCTGGAAAACATGGTAGTTCAATGTCCTGTGTTTCAGATTGGTGTTTTATTTAGAGATACATTCATAAGCCTACCAGAATACTCACTGAATGGACTATGTTACAAGCCTATAGTTCTCAACTGATACAGTACCATTTTAATATCCAATAAATTGACTCCTTCCTATTCCATTTATTCCATGTGAATGGCAGCACTTTATCCATCTTCACTAAGCTAAACATCTAAGCAGACCCGGAGCTGGATAAAATTTGAATGGGTAGCCCCAAGATAGATTGGAAAGTCAAAAAAATAACTCCATGCCAAACCCCTTCCGTCCTAATGCCAGAAAATTATTTGGACATTTCCATAAAGACACCAGAAAGTGAGCTTTACGGACCAAGACTTCACCTTATCTCTTTTAAAGTAGGTTTTTAGATTTTAGCACAAAAATGAACAAGTTAATTAATTGCTTAATACATTTGTAAAACCATGTATAGCCCCCATGGAGTTTGCTAGCTACAAAATTGCCTAGTACCTCACCCTAATCTTCAAAACAGCTATCATTACATACTTCAAAAAGCTCCATTACCAACTTATAAAATATTGGATTATCTCCATGGTGTGTCTTGTTCAATGAAATAGTTTTATTTCATTGAATATTAATATGCAGGCTACTTTTCAGAACTCAGAAGTCTGTAACATTTGATGGCAATTTTTTTAATAGAGGACCACAATGAATGGGATGTTAACATCAAATGGGAGGTACCGTATCACATTCTTATGTAAGATCATTTTCCCCCTTAGGTGAGTGGGTTGGGAGCTGTATTGCTTTGTTGTTTGTTACCATGTGTCTAATTTAGAGTTTCTAATACCTTTTTTTGTCATTCTGCACATTGTATTTGGTACGGTACCATGCAAGCAGTTTTTAGCTACAATGGCCATACAGATCTCCAAGACTTCATACAGCCCTGGAGCTTTTGGCTGCTTCTCCTTGCTTGAAACATTTTCCATTGCCCTTGAAATAACTTGAAAGATCCTTGCTTTGTTGACTGTGCAAAATTAGATTTTAACATAGAAGCAAAATATCCAGGCTTATTTCAGTGAAAATCAAGGAAGGCAACTTCCCCTTAATGAGTTGTTTTGTTTCCAGAAATGCTTCTGCATACTACGTAACGTTATGCTTAGAATTTAGAGAATCTTTGCTTTCCATTTTCAAAAGAGTAAATCTATTCCCATTTATCCACTAAAGCATACCTTAAATTCCATTAACTCATGCGTATTTGATGGGGTGGAAAGGGCTCTTTCTGCTATCCTCTCAAACTCATCACACAGTCTGAAATTGGAAAAGCAAACATGTCACGCACTCACATCTCACATGCATATGCAACACACATAAAGAGTACAGACCGCAATACCTGCAGGATCATGGCACCTTGAAATTGAAGGCCTGTTACAATTGGTAAGCAGACTGCCAGAGTGGTATTGGTTCATGTGCTGGACTACAAGTGGGAAGAGTCAGGTTCAAGTCCTCCCTTCACCACAAAAACTCATTGGGAGATTTGGGGCAGTGAATCTTGTTCAGACCAATCTGAACTACGGGGTTGTGGTTGTGGAGAGAAAAATAAATCAGAGGAGGGAGTACAAAATACACCATCCTGAATTTCTAATCAATCAAATAAAGTGACAAAAAGAACCAGTCTACACTCCCCGCTTCCTGGCCTCTATTATTGAAATAAAAATGCAGGCCATAGCCTTGTGGAAAGCCGCAAGGAAGGAGAACAGAGTTGCCTCAATGAAAAGAAAAATAAGTTGTTATCCTATTGCTAACCTGAGCAAATGTAAACAGATCAGAAATTACACAAAGGAAAGAAGAGAGTTCATTCCCTGCATGCCTACACAACAGGTTCTAGCAATTATAACTGAGCTATTTGAATGAAATGCATAAAGATATAATACATAATAAGATAAAGATACCATAATTCTCGTGGCAGAAATAGAACATGTTTAGAAACAATCTTGCAAGCATGTAACCATTTCCCACGTACATGTGTATCTGGACACCATTCTGGACCCACAATACAACTATTTCGGAACAGATAGGATGTAATTCAAGAAACTGGAATGCATATTCCCATCTGCAGGCATCAATTGTTGAGAACAATTTGCTGCCTGCAACCACAACTGGATCAGAGCTACACTTATTTGCATCCTTCCAAATAAGACATTTACCTTGTGTTTAGATCCTGATGATCCTTGAACATTTTGCCAATTATTTTGGAACAAATTGAATCAGCTCGTTTTGCCAGTGATCTGATCAGTTCGTCGCAATGTAACTCAAACATTCCTAGACGAATACACTAGAACACAAGCATTGATGAGAAAAGAGTTGCCAGCAAAAAAAAAATAATCAAAAAATAAATTCTCTAAATATTACAAAAATCCCAAGGGATATCAAGTTTTTGTTCTGTTTTGTTCCTGATGCCAGGTCATCAGCAGCAGTGTATTATTAAAAATAGATGGCTGACTTCCTTATTCACAGTAGTTGTGAGATACTCTAATCACAGAAGAGATAAGAGCTGTGAGGAGTTTCAGTTGCATCAGTTATAATGAACTGAAAGAGATGGAGGACTTCGATAATGGCCCACATAATACTTTGAATAAAAAGATTAAAACTCAGATCATGGATTTATACAGTGCAAAGTAGAAATGGCTCTTATTTGCTAGTCCTGGAATTTGCTCCTTCCAGTGTGCATTACTAGGTCAACAATTAGCAAAGGAGACTGCCCAGGCCCTGATCTCAGGTGTCACGGCCCCCATCGGAGCCTGGTTCGGAGGAGAACCATCCGACAGGGATGGCATTTCTCCCTTGGCATGTTTGGAGAGGCCAGGGGCTGCCCCAGGCCCCTCAGGCACTGGGGGAGGTGGTTTCTGTCACCTTAGGCATGAAAGCAACCTGGGTGACTTTGGGCCTCTCTCAATCTCACAGGGTTCTTGTTATGAGGAAAATAGGAAGAGGAAGGAGTATTAAGTATGTTGATTTGCCTCGAGTTATTTATAAAAATTAATAAAGTGGAGATTTTGAAAAATCTAAAAAGAAAATCTAAACAAGATAAGTGTACCTCATGGCCCTCTGTACAATTATATCTTTTACATTAAATAAAGTGAGGAGATCTGTTCCATCCCATGAATATAATGTTGGTAGAAATTCTAACTGACTGTTAGGAACATATGACAGTGGTTCCCCCCATCTATAGTTCTATGCAGGGCTTTGTCACTGTGGAGTTCACATCTTCCCCCCCCCAGCTGAAAAAAATTGAGGATAAGCAATTCCTTTTGAGTAATTAGCCTGGCAACCAACGGTTACAACACAATACCCAATATTCACCCCCTGGCATAGAAGCAGATAAGCACATCTTAGACAGAACATTTATAACACCCCTAGCAAAGTTAGCTTCTCGGTGATAAGAAACATGTATTCCATACTATTGACTTACATGCCAGTGATTATGATTACACATAAGATCCGGCGCAAAGGACACTGGTTAGAGAGTATAATTTATCAAACATACAGGGATGAATACGCTGGCTGAGCTCATACATAGGACAAAAACATAATGTGGTTTGTTCATTCTTGGTTTAATAATACATGACCCTTCTATAAGATCAAATGAGATCAGGTTTTTTTTTAACCAGTCCTGATGAAAAAAAAATCTTACCTAAGCATTATGTCTAAATATAGTTCTAGTGGATTGAATGTCAGTGGTAAGGCTGAAGGCTGAAGGCGGATGGGACACAACAGATCATAAAATTACCATACCTGTATCAGAAGATATAAAATAAAAAGGCATTTGCCATTCAGTGAATACGCTACCTTTCTGGAGTGGTACTGAATGTCATCACGGATGCTTTGATATCTGGCGACTTCGGCTGTTATTTCTTCAAATGTGTGCTCCTCGGAGAGGAACTGATCAATATCCCGCTCTGCTTGTTTGGTTATCAAATCGTGGTACTTATCATACAATTTGAGATGTTCCGTCGGTGCCACACTCTCCTTGGCAATCTCACTCCTAATTTTCTGCTTATGTGCATCCAGAATTTCATCGAGGATGATAGGCTTCAAATTCATGGATTTGGCTTTGCTTTCAGGCTTTCAAAATAATAGAATTTCTTTTATACTATTAATTCAAGTAATCAGTAAAGACTTAATATTAGATTGGCCATGCAATCCTACATTGAACATCGTGTAGCTGAGCAACTTTTTCAGCTTTTCTCCAACTTGGTATTCTTCAGATGCGTTGGACTACAACTCTGACCATCCCTGCCAACCTGATAAAGAACGATGGGAATCCTATTCGGCACTTTCACAGGGCAAAAGATTGGGGAAAGCTGGGCTACAGGATTCAAGTGGAAATTCCAATATACTAGCAGAAAATTCAGTCGGCCAAGCCCTTGATCAGCAACTAAGTATGACGTGACTGAAAAGGACCTGTCTGAGAAGGGCTGATGCTCTCTTCACAGTACCTGGTATCTACTCTATTCATACCAATGTTCCCCACTGTTGGCAACCTTTTGCATCAGTCCAAATTTATTACTTCCCTGTCATTAGTAATTTTGGAACAAGGGGGGGAAAGGCCACTCCTGCATGGTTTACCATCCTATATACCTTGCTATAAAAAAAACACAGGAAATATTTTAATTCAGCCCTTAAGGGAAGCCTGCTAATGTTATTGTGTAAATATTCACAGTTCAAATGTATGCTTGATTTATTATTTAGTCTTAATTTTGAAAGTAACTTGGATTTTTAATTTGTTTTTAATTATTTTTCTTAGCTGCTTGGAAGAAATAAAAGAGAGATACAGTATGTGAAATATACATAAATGGATGTGCAACATGACGGGATCCAGTATATGCCAGTGTTTTTCAACCTTGTCAACTTTAAGATGTGTGGAGTTCAACTTCCAGAATTCCCCAGCCAGCCAACCAAACACTGGTATATACACATATAAGTAGTCCCTAACTTATCACCATTCTTTTAACGACCAAATTCTGAGAGCCTTGGAAAAAGTGATTTATGACCTATACTTGCAGTTACAATTGTCATATCATCCCCACAGTCACATGATCACAAATTAGGCACTTGGCAACTGCCTTGCATTTACAATGGTTGCAGGGTCCTGTGATCACATGATCATAATTTGCAATCTTCTTTTCCTACTTTCAGCAAAAAACGCACATTGGGAAAGTTGGAATTCACTTAACATCCATATGATTCACTTAACGATTACCCTAAAAATTGTCCTAAAATCAGGTCCAATTTGACTTACAACCACAACAAGTTATGACAGAAATTCCAGTCTCAACTGTGATTGTAAATCAAGGATTCCCTGTACAAAGAAATCACAAGAAGGAATTTGGGGGAATTGGCAGTTCTTCAGAAAACACATTTTGTTCAACCACCACCACCACCACCACCCCAAAAATAATATAATTAGAATACTACTTACCCACTTTGAATAAAGCTTGGTCTCCACTCTTGGAAACATATTAACAGCTTTTACCATGATTGCAAAAATATTCATGAATATGGCCTCATAGTCGTTAAACTCAGGTTCAAATGTAATATTTTCATTCTCAAGAATCAGTCGCATTATAAATCCAGAATGTTCAAAGGCATAGATAGATTTCTGTTCAGAGAGAATTAAATCCATTAACATGGCTTGTACAGGAGAATACTTTAAAATGACACAACTCAGTACAAAATACAAAAATGTGAGTGATGGGGTCAGTTGTTTTGGCTATGGGCACACAATGCTGACTAGCCAGCTAGTCCACAAAGTGACGCAGGAGGGAAAATGTCTGCACAAAACATTAGTATAAGCATATCAGGCTCTCAAAGTATCAGAGATTGATTGATTGACTGATTGGTTGATTGAAAACATGAATCCTATTTGGGCTTCACCATAAGTCTTTTTCTGAAAGATCAACCTCCCAAGTCGAGTCTCAGAAGAATACAATCTATCTTTCTAAACAGAAGCTTGCTTTTTCACCTTTTAAAAAAAATACATTATTTTTTACAAGAGACACCTGCAAAGGTGGTAAGCTTGTCAGAAAATCTTACTTACCGTAGGTTGCACAATTAAATTCGTGAAGTCCTCCATTGAATTTAAAGCTAGACTTTGCAGTTGCTGAGTCATTAGGGTTGCAGCACAGTTGAAGAAAGCTTCTAATTGGGCACTGCTGGCATTGGTAGGCACCTGCTTTCGTTTATTGCCTTGGTAATAGATATTTTGCACTTCTGGGAACCACCTAATAGGAGGGGGGGAGTGTTTTTGCAACTTGCAGAAATGTATCTTTTACCAAAATTTTATATGGTTTAATAACATGTAAAGCAAATTTTCCCAGACATTTTAAGCCAACTCCCGTGCTTCTTCAGCATTTCTTTTGCAGTAATGTTCGTTCAACATAAAAAGGGTTGGTAATCATGATATTAATGCCCGTACGAAAGGACAAAGTCATGATTATACTGCTGCTGCCAGATCTCTTTCCTGTTTTGATCCAGTCCTTACTCCATGGATACTACTGGGAAGTTATAGAAAAATGAGGAATTAATGAGGTGGCTGGATGGAGTCACTGAAGCAGTAGGAGTGAGCTTAAATGGACTCCAGAAGATGGTGGAGGACAGGAAGGCCTGGAGGAACATTGTCCATGGGGTCGCGATGGGTCGGACACGACTTCGCAACTAACAACAACAACAACAGTTAGACCTTTCTTAGCAACCATAATTGGGACCACTAACTCTGTCACTTAAGTGCCATGCTCGCTAGCAAAATATCACATGACTGTGACAGGCTTACAATCTCACTTCCTCTTTGATTGTAAAGCAAAGCATCATGCAATCACAACTTACAATTTTATTCCACCTTCTCTATTAAATCTGTTTCTCCCAAGCCAGCTGCTAAGCACACAAAGGATGACCACGTGGCCATGGGAGGCTACATTAAATGAGGCACTCAATAAGTGAGGGTTGCCTATACAAACATGGTTGCAGCTCTAAGAGGTTCACATCATACTAAGGAGAAGGAAGGCAAGGGTGACTCTCCACAAATCCCTGAAGTATTGGCATCCCTTTATTACCAATGATGCCAGCAAGCAAGATCTGCTGGGAATTAGTTCCAACAACCTCTGAAGGATTTTACAGGTTATTGCTGGGATCCAGATACTTGGCAGTCCACAATCTGGGAAGAAGTTTAAAATGAAGGCTGCAACCGGAGGTGTTTGAGCAGGTGCAGCCTCCAAAAGTTGCCCTCAAAATATGTTAGTGTGACAGAAAAGGGAAATTAAGTCCTCCATTTCTTCTCCAAAAGTCAACAACACAGGTACCCTTCAAAATCACAAATGAGCTGGGTTTTTTCTCCTTTTCCTTCACGCCACATCTGGCTTACAACAGCAAAACTGCAGCCACGACAGGTCTCAGAATCCATAAGCCACAACTACCCACAACTGTCCATGTTTCTTATTCATTTTTACTTACAATCACCAGTAAAAATCCAAATCACCATTCTATGCTTAAAATGAGTTGAAAGGGTTGGTATGCAGTGCATTTACATTTCTGGATTTTCTCTACAGCCCAAACCCTGCTGAGTATTTTCAGCTGAAAACAAAAGAACCACATTCAGGAGTGCACTACCAATTTGGAACAATGCAGTTCCAAATGGCTGAGGCACGGAGACAACATCTCCTCTTCTTTTTCCTTCCTTCTGATTGTTGGGATCAAGGTGGTCGAGAGAGAGAAGAGTGATTAATGCTGCCAGGTAAAAATTATGTGAGTTGTCTTCTTCCTAGTCTAGGCCAAGAACTTTCCCTCTCACCATCTTCTGCGTGGGACTGAGCTATAGCCCTTGCTTGTGAGACTAGATCACATTCTCCATCACTTATCTCACACCCTTTATGGTCACAACATTCAGTTTTATTAACAGGCTTTGCTAATCTCCCCCCCCAAAAAAAAAATTTGAACAAGGCTTCCAGCACAGCTTCATATTTGAAACTAAAGCACAGATGCATCTCTCACATAATGAGATGTCCTGTTACTCTTCTCCCCAATACTATGCCTAGCTCAGATCTGCTATGCAGAGCCCCTCCACTTTGGATACCTAAAAATGCCTAAAAATATTAAGAATCCCCTTCACTAAGAAAAGAATATCTATCCATGGAATGAAACCACTCAACGCGTTCCAAAATTATGGAAGAGAATCTTTTTAAAGCAGGTTAACATTCAAGATGAAGTTAAAATCTCTCCAATATAACATTTCTTAAAATTCTGGGGGGGGGATCAGGAGTCGCTATTATCAAATAATTTATTTATTTTTCTGTACGTGATTCATCTACTACTTTCCCCCTCGTGGATTCTGGGTGGTTTACATGTATCAAAATAGCAAAAAGAATAAACATATAATTTAAAACCTCAAGACAGAAATGTAACAAGTAATATCAAATAATGTGCTGATGTTAATGGCAGGTGGTGGTTGTCTAGCTGCAGACAGGTCTGACTTAAAATTAGTCTTTCAGCTTTGGCAAACACCCTGCTCAGTAAGAGCATGAGAATATTCAGCCACAAAATTAGCTGTGCTTAAACTTTCAGTCCAAGGGACATAAATCATTAAAAAGATATTTGAGCTTACTTTTTAAAAAGAGTATCCTTGGCAGTTTCCATTTGTCTTAATATCATGTTCTGGAAGAGTGAGAGCTCCATTGAGTCTTGACGAGTGCGAAATGCTAACTTATCAATTAAGCGCAAATCTCTGTGAGAATGACAACAAAGAATATCATGCTGAATATATTTTCACAACCCTTTTTAAAAATAAAGTTATTGAAATTTTATATTTAATCTATTTAAATAGATGGCCACAGTCCATAGGGACCGGCTTAATTCAGTTGGGGACTCCTATTTTAGAGTTCAAAGCTGAAGCCTAGCACAGCCCTATTGTTTAATACTCTAAGTACAAACTGAAGCAATCACACTTTATGTCGTCTTAGCAGACTGTCTGATTTTACATTTCCAATCCATTTTGGCATTTTCAAATAATTTAGTAAAAAAAACCCAGACCATCAGTTTGTGAAATCGGTGTCATGTGTCTGATTAACGAAACACTTAAAGGGACTTTCAGGCATATTTTTATCCTAAAAGCATTTATTAAGGTTACAGAGATGTCAGTACGGCATGGTGGAAATACTTAGATCTGAGATCCTTTTCCGTTGCACAGACATTCCAGGCATTTTTCCCTCCCCTATTCTGGGGTCATGGTTCACATCTTCCAATTAACTTGGAAGATGTGATTTACTTCCAGTTTCTTTTCCCCAGGCTTTCCTTATTCTCCTCCCCTTTCACTGTTGCTTGATTTAACTATAAAAATACCAGACAGTTCTGCATATTGTCAAAGCAAGAATATACAGTATTTGCAGCATTGACAATAGGAGTTAATTTAAGATTGCAATCTTTGGCTTTGCCAAATCGTAACATGAATATTGATGAAGAAAACATCATCTAGTTTGAACGATATGCTTCAGATGAATCAATTAGTTAAATAACGTTTCAGAAAAGTCTTTATACATCTTTTTTTTTCTTCACAGCATTTCCTTATAATTGCTTTTATTGTTTATAACGGGTCTGTATTCAAAGAACTGTTTGGAGAGTGTTAATATCAACGCCTTTAAATTTGCTTACGGACACAGGAAAACATCATCCTTCAACCAATGAAATGAAATTTACTGCAGCCCATTGTGCATCTGTTTCACAGATTTTTACTAAAGATCCTGGATGCACAAGGTGAGGGAAAACAAGGAATGATCAACACCTAGATCTGTCTTTCCTCCTCAATATAGACTCTAACAGTGCCCCTAATGAAAAATAAGAAAATAAACCGAGTAAAGAAAAAACATAAAACCATTCATTTATTTACTTAGCCATGTGGCAACATCTTCACTGGGCCCAGCTGATGTGCTTTGGCCAGGCTCACAAGGCCAAAATGTAACTATGTGATGGAGGATATGAGTACTCAGAATTTGTTCATTATCATACCTATTTCAGCATTTATACCTTTCTCTGTAGGCACATGCACACGCACACACACATCCTAAGCATTTTAAGAAAAAGAGGAGTCAAATTCTTCATAAGAAAAAAAGGCAATCGGGACCACAAAATCACAAAATCCCTTCAGGGAAGACTAAGCTACGATTCATCAATATATTACATATAGCATTTCTTCTCTTTTTTGTTTTTTTACTTTATCTTTCATAGAAATTTATATACATGTGGAATGTGATTCTTTTGCAGTGATATTTATCATAGTGCACTGAATAAAGGAAGCTTAAAGAACAAATCTGACAGTCAGTTTCAGCGTTCTTAAAGAAATTAGCTATTAAAACAGATATTATCTTACTGGATTAGCCTACATATACATTTTCTTTAAAAAAACCAATCTGATAGACTGTCTCATTCTTTTCTATCTCAAAAAACAAGAGGAACAGCTCAGTTAGCTTATCTATTAGACATTACTATCTGAGATCTTAATAGAACAGAACTAAGCATGGTAAAGTGTTTTTTTCCTCTTCTTTTCTTTTACAACAATATATACTTATTAATAAAATAATCTGAGCTGCCGGGATAAAAATACCACACTTGGAAATTGGCTCAACTGCTGATTAAAACGAATAATGGTAATGTTTCATGGCCTTTCCCAGTCAGGAGCAGAAACCTGATCAGGCGCAGCTCTGGAAATATTTTAAAGATAATGTGCTCTGACAACAATTAGCTCCTTCAGGGCTCTTGCTGTCAGAATGAAGCACTGCCTCCACAAAACAAGCTAAGCACATTTTGCCTGATTTGCCTTCACACCAACAGCCCCGGGTGAACATTTTTGGTTATTAATCTTACTGTAGTTCTTCCTGAATTCTTTATTATGATTATTGTTTGCGTACATTCAATATTAAGCCAGCTTTACATCTCATTACTGAACACGATAGAATGAGAACACTCATTTGCTCAATCCCAGCATTTTGCAAGCTGAGGTAATAAATAAACTGTACTTAACAGAATAAACTAATCTTCTGCAACTAGATGACCTCCAGTCTTGCTAGGCTACAATTCCAGTCTAACCAAGCCAGCATATAGAGGTTGTCATCTAGCAGGTCTAAAGGACATCAAATTGGGAAGTAAGTGAGGAGTAAGTGATTTTCAAAAAGAGAACAAGGAGTGAAAGGCAAATATTTGTACAATTACACATTTAATCGTCAACTTTCTATCTGCGGTACTACTAATCTAACATTTTGCTTTATGCCAGTGATCATTCTAACATGCCTGCATTAAAGGAGATGAAGTCCATTAAGCTATAATCAAGAAGAAGAAGAAGAAGAAGAAGAAGAAGAAGAAGAAGAAGAAGAAGAAGAAGAAGAAGAAGAAGAAGAAGAAGAAGAAGAAGAAGAAGAAGAAGAAGAAGAAGAAGAAGAAGAAGAAGAAGAAGAAGAAGAAGAAGAAGAAGAAGAAGAAGAAGAAGAAGAAGAAGAAGAAGAAGAAGAAGAAGAAGAAGAAG